TTTTGTGCCCATAGTAGTTTCAGTTTAATAAATTACACTGCAATATTTAACAACTACAATATTCTTTAAATTTTCTTCCATGCGTAAACATACGCAACAATAATTGCCTGCTTGCTAAATGTTCCAATGTCAAGGATAGTACACAATCCCCTCCGCTGAACCCTGGGTTTCATTTGTTACAATGACCACACATATCACATTTACTGTAGGCACTCAAACTATAAACATACAAATTATATGACATATCACGCAACCATATTACTAACAAAAATTATATATACACACAGCCACATCATTCAAAATCCTGCACACTCACTCAATTTAAAGTCTCACAGAATGGTTTTATTTAAAAACACCTCACCTAGGCAAAAAATAATGAGGGTTTAGTTACAGTATATGACCATACATTGCATATGTCTGTCACAACGTCAATGTACCCCTTTCTTACACACACACACAAACAAACACACCAATATATCTCTATCAATCACACACACACACACTATATATCACACACACACACACACACAATATATATATATATCTCTATCAATCACACACACACACTATATATCACACACACACACACACACTATATCTCTATCACACACACACACTATATCTCTATCACACACACTAATATATATATATATATATATAATAGTGTGTGTGTGTGTGTGATATATATATAAATCTCTATCAATAACACACACACTATATATCTATCTCTCTCTCTCTATCAATCACACACACACACACAATTACAATATACACATAAATATATGTGCAGACACTGCACATCAATTCTTAATTTAACTTATTACATAACTGGTTTTAAAATAAATATATATATATATATATATATATATACACACACACACACACACATACATACATACACACATATATATATATTGCATGTGTGCACCCAGCCCATACACAGTCATTCTAGAGCACATGTAACTTTTCCATGTGCCATGTTCTTGGCATGTATTAGATAACTTGCCATTTACATACATACCCTCTCTGGCTTTCAGCAACACGGTGTTGGCTACAATATTCTCGAGCTCCATAGGGCGGCCTGGCCAGGGGCATCGAGCCTGGGGCGGCCACTCACTCTCTACCAGGCTACAAGCATCCTGCTACCAGTGACAGAGCCCCACCCACAGCCGCCAATCACAGCCCCGCCGCGCCCCCGGGCTGGCCGCTCATTGGCAGGCGTTTCCAATCTGCGCTCTCTCCCTCTTCCCGTGTATACTCTAGAACTCCTGTGACTTTCAGCGCCGAGGGTGAAGAATTCAGTGGGCGGTGCTAGCAGAACGCTGATTGGCCGATCGGAATGCCATTTTCACGCCGTTCTTATCTGTTTGCGGAACCGTAGAAAGTGAATCCTCAGCATTAGAATGCAGACAAGGGAGAGCGAGCCCTGTATAGGTTAATGACGTCACGGAGCGGCCATATGTTGGATGGCGGATGCCGTGGTGATGGTGTTGGTTGGCATTGCTTTTAATAGCTATAAGTCTCTGAAATGGTTATGCTAAGAACCATAACTGCTATAGCTCAATCCAGTGATGCTAAGAGTCTTTAGATGCTGACTGACACTTTGTGTCAACTGGATTCTGGCAACATACCTCATAATTGTTCTAAATCAGGTGGGACTGTTCCTTACCTAACATGCTGTATGTGGGTAGGGCATGAGGGAGGGGGGCCCTTGATCTCCTATTGCCTATTACTTGGGATTTGTGGGGTGTCAGCCGGCACCATCAGGGTAAGCAGGTGAATGATCTGCCATACCGAAAAACAGACCGCTTCGGTGGCGCCCTGACGTGGCCATATGCCATCTCCTGGGCCCTCTACGACAAGACTCCTCCTGGCGCCTCCTATTTCTGGGCGCCTGGAGGATCGACCCGGCGCTGAGGGGGGCGCGGGGCGCTTTACAGCCGCTCGCCCAGCGCTGCGGCTCAGGACAGGGGGAGCCCACCAGGAAATATCCCAGAATGCCTAGTTCGCCTAACGGTGGTGCCGACCTTGGCTCAACCTATCATTGCAACAGAGGACCTGAGCTGTAAGTAATGGGAGAGTCCCAGTTTATGTCAAACACGAATCAGTGGCGATGGCAGCCATAACTTCATTGCACCATAACCACTACAACATAACTCCCTTCTTCTGTTTAGGAGGGACAATCCATATTTTGGGCCCAAGTCCCTCTTTTCTAGGAACTCCATATTGCCAGTATGTCTGTCTATAACAGAGCTCCACAGTAATTGTTGACAATAATGTGTCTTTCACTACAATACATGTGTTTAGGAATCATTCTTAAAGGGACATTATAGTCACCAGAACAACTACAGCTTATTGAATTTGTTCTGGTAAATATAATCATTCCCTTCAGGCTTTTTGCAGTAAACACTGTATTTTTAGAGAAAATGCAGTGTTTACATTACAGCCTAGTGATAATGCCACTGGCCATGCCTCAGATAGCTACTAGAGGTGCTTCCTGGGGCATTGCTGCACAGTGTAACTGCAATTCAGTATCTCCACACTCTGCATGGAGACACTGAACTTTTCTCGTAGATATGCATTGATTCAATGCATCTCTATGAGAAGATGCTGATTGGCCAGGGCTGTTTTTGGCTTGTGCTGGCTCTGCCCCTGATCTGCCTCTTTGACCGTTTCAGACAATGCGAGGCTTTCCTATTTGAATGCATTGTGATTGGCTCAGAACATCACTTATGATGATGTCAGCCAAGCAGGTAGATCAGGGGCACCAACTAACCGCTTTAGTTAATCCCGCCTGGGAACCCCAACGCATATTGAAGCTTGTCAGACATAATTCCAACTAGACTAATGCTGAATCTACACAACCACACTGGCTGAGACCCCCCACCTCACAGTCCCCACTCACCCCGATACACCCCAATGCTCAACACAGACGCGGGTCATTATCATGATGGTATACTCAACACAGTATGTAACCTTAGCACTTAGTTAACAGAAATTATATGTATACAGGTTAAAGAAAGAACCAACCAGCTACACAAACCCACCCCTGCCAGGCGGTTATATATGTGGTAGACGAAGTTGTTGTCCCGACTATAGACAAATAACTGATAATGTGAAGCCTGCGATCCACCCTGCTAGATAGTATTCTGCAATACCGGCCACCCACAACACGCGACGGCGACGCTTCCCCCCCCCTCCCGTTCCCCATACCCTGGCCATGGGGAACAGGGGACGACGACCGGACCCCAAGGAGGACGACCAGGCCGTGTCTGGCAACCCGTCACACACACCACCAATGCACACACCTGTAGGTGTCTTTGCTCGGGAAAAAGGGACCATCCCTTTGTTTCCTAGGCACAGAAAAGCCTGCCTGAGGGAAAAGTTCTGGTCTCTTTGTCCCTCGGGCTCTCTAATCTTGCCAGTGCCCCAGAAGTGCCAACACTAATCTCATGGATTCTCGCCCCGGTCCCTCGACCGACTAGTCTCCATTCGCTAGGTCTTGGTTCCAAACCCAAGCAAGGGAAGAGTCTCCTTTTGGGGTACGAATGCTCCCCCTGCATGGCGTTCATCTGTACAAATGGCGGCCACCTAGGGGAGCACTCATTAATTACTTCCCTTGCGGTTTCACACCATTGTTGAGGGTGTGAACGTTCTGATTAATTGGTGTGAACGTTCTAATAGGGCACCGGGGAGGCCCTCTCTCGGGATACGAACTAGTTGGGAAACAATCCATGAATGCCCCCCTAGTAGCGTTCGGCTGTACGAATGACGGCCACCCAGCGAAGCACTCATTGTTTACCTTGTGGCTTGCGGTTTCGACACTTATGTTGTGAAGTAAATAAGGTATTGTGGTGATCCTCTTCGTGGGAGCACTCAAAAAAGGGGAGCGGGCCTAACAAATGAAAACACGGGGGAAATACATGTGAAAGAGAGGGGAAATCCACCAACAGACAGTGGTTCTGTCACACAAAGCATGAACACGAGAAAGGGTTGGGAATGGGTGAAAGAATGTACTACAAATTGATGCTAAATCTTTGACGCTGTATAATACCTTATGCCACTAATCTTTGCAAATGTTATGAATGTTTTCTTACAGCCCTGCTCCCACTCTTGCTTCCGTTACCTAAAATGTATCCTCACTAATGCACTTAGACCACAAAGATATCATTTGTGTACGAATCCCAAAAATAACTCACTAAATGAACACACCGCTGTCAGTTAAAACAGTCTGTGAGAGACAATGTCACTGTCCCATACATAGACAGATATCCATGGCAGTGACACCAGTGAGACACCCTCCTTGGCACAGCACTGATATATCACCAACCAGCGGCACGCAGGTGGAATGCTTGTTCCCACCCCTCCTCTTCCCCGGGCCCTGGTGGGGGGGAGGGGAGGGACAACCAGGCCCCAGGTAAAACACCCAGCGATTTTGTCCCACCACGCAAATCGTCAGTCCACACACACACCTGCACATCATGTCTGCACATCATGAACCTGCACATCATGTCTGCAGCCACTGTCACAATAGCCGGGAAAAAAGCAACTAACACATACTCGTTTACCTCAGTATACGCCCCATCAACACCTGACCAGACTTTTGGAACACACTCTCCAACCACGTGGCATCCATCCCAATTAAATACTCAATATTGGGTGGAGATTTTAATGCAGCTGTGTTGCCATCCACAAACAGGCCACGAACAACAAGCTCAGATGCACACTGCGCACAATTCTTAAAAAACCACAACGTCCTAGACATTTGGAGAGCCCAACATCCCTCCACATCAGAATACACCTTCTACTCACACCCGCATAATTCCTATTCCAGGATAGATTACTTCCTATTTTCACCCCAACTGACCCAACATATAACAATATTACAAATAGGGAACATCACATGGTCCAAACATGCCGTGATCTCCATAACATTCAGACTGCCTAAAATAACAAGACACTGGACATGGCGTTTCAATTTCCTGATCCTACACGATACAGCGACACAAACCACCATAGCGTCTGATATTCGCAAATTCTACACACTGAATGAACACTTAGTAGACTCCCCCACCACTGTGTGGGTAGCACATAAAATGGTCATCCATGGCAGGTTGATAGCCATAGCCTCAGCGCATAAAAAAACAACAGCTGTAACTTCTTAGCGACACCATGACCAAACTCAAAAGACTTGAAGAACCCCCAACCAGTCGATCTATACACAACTCTCGGCCACATGCCAAGGCACTCGTGGACGAAACAGAGATTTTATGAGAAGGGCAACAAAGCAGACACAATGCTAACCTGCAGACTGAAATCCACATTAGAATCCAAAAATTACATAAAATCCGCACCCGAGATGGACAGATTAGCTCTAAACCAGATGACAGCAATACTTCGCAATACCAGCAATACTTCGCGACCCTCTATAACCACACTCTATAACCACACGCCTGACCCACAAGCAGACACCACACAACCTGACAGAAAACTTCCTTCACAACCTACACCTCCCAGACCTATCGACAACAGCAAAGCTAGCGTTATCAGCGCAAGCAACCGACGATGAACTAGCGACGGCCTTAGGTTCTCTCACGCCCAACAAAAGCCCAGGCCCAGATGGCTTAACGGCCCTCTACTACAAGACATTCTGCGACCTCCTAATCCCTAAACTGACTAAAGCCCTAAACAATCTTACCACCAGACATGGTCAGCACCAACATAACACTTATCCCTAAACCCGGCAAGACACATGATGAATCCGGAGACTTCAGACCGATCTCATTACTAAATGTTGACCTGAAACTAATGTCCAAAGTAATGACCATGAGATTAAACACATACATGGAAAATCTCATACACTCCAACCAGGTAGGATTCATACCTAATAGACAAGCATCGGATAACACCAGGTGCAATATAGACCTGATCAGGTACGCAAACAGACAAAATATCACCCTAGCCGTGATCTCCCTAGACGCCGAGAAGGCATTTGATCGCCTTCTATGGCCATATCTGTTCGCAACCAAATTCCTCAGCCTCCTGAAAGCAACAAATGCCGTGCCGATAGGCTACCTCCTCCTACCGAACATCCCCTGCCATCCTCAATGGCACCAGACAAGGATGCCCCATGTCACTTCTGTTCGCCCTCTCATTGGAACCCTTCCTACAAACACTGAGACAAAATCGGAAGATTGCGGGATTGACTATCCGAGGAGAGGAATATAAAGTCTCAGCATATGCTGATGACTTGCTCATGACACTAACATCACCTGGTTAGGCAGAGTAACATCAACAAAAATTAACCTACTCCCCCCGCGAACTATACATGTTCCAAGCCCTTTCAATCCCATGCAAACCAACAGACGCCTGTAGGCTCCAAACAGCAATTGACACCTTCATATGGAATGACTGCAAACCAAGAACACGCAGATCCACCCTGTATATACCTAAAAGATCCAGTGGACTGGGACTTCCCAACTACACACTTTACCAACAAGTAATTTTTTTTTATAGGGTGAAACAAGTTAGTACTATTAGACATACTGCTAGGACAGTTAAACGAATAAGTATGCTAAAATTAGGATTGGCATTGATATATATAATAGGTAAAAACATGCTTAGTCAAGTAGGCCAAAAGGTTCAAGAATATTACACATTAGTCACGGTTGCCTGCTTTGTGAGATAAGTGAGTAGGTAAAACATGCCTAGCCGATTAGGCAAGGGGTAGGTTCACTGTCCTGCTGCCGGCATGAGGGTCTGCTGGATCCACGTTCCTTGCGTCTTCGGCCCAAGGCCTTTGCGGGCACCCACACCTGTATTCCATTGATCCCTTCACCAGGATCGTGGGCCCTTGGGTCTGTCGAATTCCAGACATGCCCCGGGGTGTATGGACGGCTGTGGGGAGTCACCACCACATGGGTCCCCGGTTTGGAAGAAAAGCGGGCATAGAGTCCGACTTTTCTACTCCCCTGTGCTGTAGGGGGTGCGGGTAGGTGTGTGCCATGCTTTGGAGTGGGCCCTGGATGAGGTGAGAGATTAACTGCTGTTGTAACATTTTAAGGCTTTGGGGTAATAGGGGACAGTGTCACCTGAGGTCTGTGGTCGAGTCGCTTCCAAAAGTCCTTGTACAGTGCCTCAAATCTGGCATTAAAATAATACAGCCACTCCTGGATCCCTCGGCTTGCTCGTGGCTGTAGGTTTTCCTGGCCGGTGGCCATCTTAGGTGTGCCTCGTGGGCCTCACTTTGTGAAATAAGTGAGCCTGGGCTGTCTCTAATTGATTTGTTTTTGGGTGAGGTTTTTTAAATAAACAAATTTCAGGCGTTAGCATTATAATTGAATCTGTAATTGTGTAACTTATTTTATGAATCGAATTCCAATATTATTGTATTAAAGGGCTCATGCGTCAAAGGTAAATTTTGAAATTTAAAACTGTAATTTAGTGTGGTGCACTTCCCTTAAAGGGTTACTTAAAGTGCCATGACCACTTCACAGTTTTAAAGGGGTCTTAGTGCTTAGCATCCTGTGGTTAGCTTCTAACCACCATTAGAGCATTTAACCTCACCCAATATAGTCCCTTACCCCTATTATAGCGTCTACCAGTCATTACAGTCCCTATTCCTCCACTATGGCCCCTAACCCGCAACTACAGCTTCTATGTCCCATCTGCAGGCTTTAGAACTCTATGACAGCGCCTAGCCTCCAATTACAGCCCCTATCACTTATGATGGCATCTAAACTCCACAACCCCCACAATACATCCCCTATTCAGCATTACAGTCCCCATCCCTCTATTACATTCCCCCATTACAGTCCCCATCCCTCTATTACAGCCCTTATCCCTCCATTACAGCTCATATTCCACATTACAGTACCTTTTCCCTCATTACAGACCCTGTTTCCCATCTGCAGCCCCTATGCACATTTACAGATCATGCCTCCCCATTACAGCCCCTGCCTCCCAATTGCAGCCCATATCCTCCCCAAGTGCAGCCACTGTCCCCTTATTACAGCCCATATTCCCTGACTACAGCCCTTATTCCTGCATTATAACCCCTATTCTGCCATTATGGTCCCTATCTCCCATTACAGCTCCTATTGCCCAATTACAGCCCCATACACCGATACAGCCCATTTTTCCCTACTACAAAAATCATATTCCTCACTTCAGCCCCTGTTACCCCACTACAGTATTTATTTTAATTTCTGGGGTGGATTTATTAATCATCTGCCTAATTTTGGATGATCTTAAGGGTTGCGATCCATACAAGATCGTATCCAAAGGAGACTGATCTATTATTTGGATTGTTCTAAGAAAGTTGACAAGTCTTAAGTATGTAAATCTTCTTTATTGGAAAAATCATATTTCTGTTGGAGTTCATGAAAAGTATTAGGAGAAATATTAGATCCTAATTGGGCAATTTTTACAAACTTTTTTTCTTAACCAATTGGTTAAATCAAGATCTCTTATAAATAATTTAGTCATTCCTAAAGGAGCTTTACAGAGAATTTGATTATGAGCCAAGAATATTTTTTTTATCAGATCAATCGATTTAAACATTTGTAATATAATCCAATTATCGATTCTTAAATTTACGAACATTTTACTGTCCAGCCAAAAGAAAAGGAAGAGATCAATTCCTACGCACTGTTCTTTTAATATTTTGTACCATGTTTTGTCTTAAAAGTTTTGTCTTAAAATTTTCCGAAATGGGAATACATTACTGAATTATGAATCAACTGAATGTTGGGAAATGATAGTCCTCCCTCTCTTAAGTGTGTTATTATTATTTTTCTGTAGATTCTTGCTTTTTTTTATCTGACCATACAAAGGAATAAAATAATTTGTCAAACATTTTCAGAATTTTATTTGATACTTTTATTGGAATTGTACGAAATAGATATTCGAGTTTCGGCATTAAATAAGCCTTTATTGTGTTTTAATCTACCCATCCATGAAAGTATTAAGTTATCCAATTGATCTGGTATTTTAGCTCTTTAAATAGCTTCATATAATTTAAATTTACCCAAGTAAATTTATTAGGGTTCCTAAGTAATTTATTGTTTGTGAGTCCCAGTTATATTTATAATTAAATGTAAGTGATTTTACCTGATTTTGAGTTAAATTTTGATATATTATCTGAGTTTTTTGTAAATTTATTTTATAATAAATTACAGCTCCAGTCTCCACAATTACAGCTCCTACCCCCCATCATAGTCCCTATACCCCCATGCTACAGCCCCTATCCCACCACACTGCAGTCCCTATGGATGTACCTAGGAATACAAAGCTTCATCGCTCTTAAAGGGTTAAGTGAAAGCTTTCATCTATGCTTGTTTTACATAAGGACAGGGGTCAATCTGTATCTCAAATCTGACCAATGACTGAGTGGCAGGCATGCCATTCACCCCAACAGGTACACACGGTTCAGAGGGACTGGGTGAATGCACTTTTAGCCCATGTTTAATTTCATCTTGCTTCCCACTCTTAACCTTTGTCATTACGAGTTGTTTTAAGAGCTCCATGCAGACGCTATGAATTTGTCCTGTCTATTTTTCCTTCTTGCTGCTCTGGTCATTGTGCAGGCCAAAGAGGTGAGTGCAAGCAAAGTGATATAGGTTCTTGTACTGAATGTATAATTCTGTAACTTTTAACAACCAAATATTAAAACATAAACTACAAAATATGTACAATCCAGTCAGATTAGTTATTATTTTCAGTTTAAATTACATAACTTTTTCTTCAAGTCATTGTTTTCCTTTTTGGGTTTTAGTCACTAAATTATAAATAGCGGAGAACTGACAAACTATTAGAAGTTTAGGTCACTATATAGTGCATATTCCCCTAAGAAACCCAAGAAACAAACATTTTACCAATGGCGGTTAATAGATGCTATTTTTAAACCTTTGGTGTACCATAGAAATCTTTAATATTTAATTACAAGCAATAGCTGTAGTTTGATGTAGAATATCAGGAATTTGCACAGAGAACTCCCTCCATATTGTATGCATGATCAACAGAGTGTAACTCCAACTCATCTCGAGCAGTTTCAGACATTCACTTAAGGTGCTGTCCAAAGATTAAAGACACCCCAACCGCAGCAATAACCAAAGCTATAGGCCTAAAACCCCAAAAAGATACATTTTACAGAAAAATTAAGCTACTTTGGGCCAGCCAGCTTCTGTCTCACATATATTATTTTCACACAAAGCACAGTTCACTGTGCACACAGAGGGGTCAATTTAAACATGGTGGGAGTGGGCTGTCCTCTAACCATTAATCAGCTCTTTTCCAGTCAATCATCTCTTTTTTTTTAGCACGAAACTCTGAATTTCGAATCAGGTATACTCGTCCATTGCACAAGTTATTTGGTTATACATTCATGTGGTGATTTTGGAGTTATGGAATTCAGATGACCCAACGATTTACCTAAATTTGCCCAAATTGCAATTCGACCTAAAACAAAGGCACAAGTCTAGTACCCATCATAGCAAATAATTGTGAATGATCATGGTTGGCTCTCATATAATGTAATTTCCAGGAGCCTGACCAAAATATGCAAGATCATTATGGTCATATATTTAATATAGGTTCCCCTGGGTATTATTATAATTTTTGCCTCCACACATGGGTTGGGGCATAAGGAATATTTTATACTAATATGGGGTTATATGTATTCATGTAGGTTAATTTATTTACTAACTATGATTAAATTAAATGTGATGGCTGGCTAGCAAGCACTGGCACATGGTTAACCTTCTCGCCACCTAGGTTTTTTTTTTTTTTTATTCTTTATTTTTACTGTGCAATAGGAATTACATACAAGCCTGCAGTGCCACGATAGCAGTGACAGGCTAACTATTTGCCCACTGGCTACTAGTGCAAAAATAGTTTTGATTTTTATAATTGGGGAGGGATTTGAAGCATCTGGGCCTGTGGGTCTGGATTTTCGTCTCGTTCGCTGCCCCTGTTTTGGAAAATCTGGACATTGATAAATATGAACAATGACCGTTCATTTTGCATTCTGAATGACCTCATATGGAACTGGATTGCTTTGCCCTACAAGCTCTACGCATTTTCATTGCCCTTTTTTTGGTTTCCCTCTCTGAGATTTTGTCCAGCTTGTATCACTGGCGGATCCAGAGTCTTATCTCGGGAGGGGCACTCATAGATTATTTAAAGAAACAATCCAGGCACAATAACCACTACAGCTCTCTGTAGTGGTTATGGTGCCAGGAGTGCAGTGGCGCTCTCCCAGAGTAAATAGTCAAACTGTTTAAGAACAGTTTGACAATTTACTTGGGGTCTGCCAGGATAGGGGCTGTAGTAGGGGATAGGGCCTCTAGTAGTGTTTGTGAGTGAGAGTAGGCAGTGTGTGTGTATGGGAAGCACAGCGTGTGTGAGGGATGCAGGGTGGGTATGGGAGGCAGTGTGTGAGGGGTGCAGAGTGTGTGTACTGGAAGCAGTGCATGTGGGACAGTGTGTGTATGTGTGTATGGGGTTGCAGTGGGAGCACTGTGTGTAGGAGGGGAAGTGTGTGTTTGTGCAAGGGGTGTAGTGTGTGCATGGGAATGCAGTGGAAGCACTGTGTGTATGGGGCTAGTGTGTGTATGAGGGTGTAGTGGGGGCAGTGTGTATGGGAGTGCAGTTGGGGAAGTGTGTGTATGGGGGTGCAGTATTTGTGTGGGGGAGCACTGTGTGTATGTGGGTGCAGTGTGTGTGTGGGGGAGACATTTGTGGGGTTGGTGTTTGTGTGGGGAGCACTGTGTGTGTGTGTGGTGTGTGTGGGGGAGACATTTGTGGGGTGCAGTGTTTGTGTGGGGAGCACTGTGTGTGTGGGTGCAGTGTTTGTGTGGGGAGCACTGTGTGGGCGTAGTGTGCGTGGGGGTGCAGTGTTTGTATGGGGGAGCACTGTGTGTATGGGGAGAAGTGTGTGTGTGTGTGTGGGAGACGTGTGTGGGGGTGCAGCATTTGTGTGGGGGTGCAGTGTTTGTGTGGAGGAGCACTGTGTATATGGGGGTGTAGTGTGCGTGTGGGGGTGCAGTGTTTGTATGGGGAGCACTGTGTGTATGGGGGAGAAGTGTGTGTGAGGGGTGCAGTGTGTATGGGGGAGAAGTGTGTGTATGGGGGTGCAGTGGGGGAAGTGTGTGTATGGAGGAGAAGTGTGTGTATGGGGGGCTGTGGGGGTACTGTGTGTGTAGTTGGAGGGGGCAGAGTAAAACAAATGTCTTGTTTTTTTTTATTAAAAAAATATTATTTATATCCCCCCTCCCTTCTTACCTTTGCCTGGGAGGGGGGATATTACTTCCAATCCCTGGTGGTCCGGTAGAATCCCTGTCAGTTCTAGTGGGGCTAGAGTTCACTATCACGAGAACAGAGCGTTGTCATGGTATTCGCGGCAACGCTCCGTGCTCGCGAGAGGAGACCCGGCGGAGCTGCAGGCTGAGCTTCTCCCAGGTCTCCTCTACCTCTTCTCTCCCTGCTGGCTGCCAGCAACGTGCCTGCGGATCGGTGAGGGAGATCTCTGATCTCCCCTCCGGTCCGTGAAGGCACGTAGCAGGAAAGAGAATCGGCTCCCCCGTTGCTTCCCCTCACCCCCGGATCCGCCACTGGCTTGTATCTTTATCCTTCCTTCCATTTTCTATCTACTCCTCCCGATTTCTTCTCTTTCTTTCTTCCACCTTCTCCACCTAATTCTTCTCTCATTTCTACGCACTATTTCAGTCAGATGTCACAGAGCAGTGTTTTGTCGCCCATGTGCACTAGACTCTCAAAGCTTTCCTATAGGAAAGTATTGGATTGGCTGAGATCATTGATCTTAATGATCTCAGCCATGGAGATGGAGTGTCTACAAGAAGACCACCTCCAAGGGAGAAAAGCTAAACATAGCTCCCAACTGCAGCATCCTGCGAGTCATGTCATCAGTAGAAGATAAAAGGGGCGGACCTGCCCAAAGAGATGGACCCATCCAGAAAGGGGACAGGTTAGCCTGGAGTGAATGCAATTATGTAGTCTGGCCCACTGAGGGCAGACCCTGCAGAGAGCACAGTTTCAGTGCTCCCTGCAGGGTCCTAGTGCCCTAATCATCACGTGAGTGCTATGAATGTTGGGGACTGTTTCCTGGTCTCCTACTTTTGGACAGTGGCTTGAGTGCTTACAGTGGTGGATTCCAGAGCCCTCCTGGCATTGTAACCTCTACAGTGAGCTGTTGTTATGGTGTTTGCAGTTTTTCTTTAAACCAAAGTTTTGATGTCTGTATTTTCAATCTCATTTCTCAATAAAACCAGTTTAGAAAAACATAAAATTATTTAATATTTTTCTACTAAAATACAGAAACACAGAGACGACAAAGAACATAAAGACCACAAAGAACGTAAAGACCATAATGAACATAGAGAAAAGACTTTGCACAAATCCAGACATGGTGAGCCTATATATGGATATGCCATGAAAAATTAGTGTTATACTTTGTGACCTTCTGTTCTGTAACCTATTTGTCTTCCTCCCAGTTCTCACAGAGAGCGGGCAGCTGTGTCATTTCCCATTTATTTATGCTCGGAGGATATACAACACTTGTATAAGAAGAGGCAATCAAGGGCCTAAAGAATGGTAAGTCCATTCATGTAGTAAATTATTTATATTAGTAGATAAGTTTTATGTATGTTACTATTCAATGAACACTGCATATAATAAACACATATTGGGAATCAATGAAGAGATGTGTTTTCAAAAGCTATTCAAATTTGTAATGCATAACTACTCCGCACCTCAACCCCACCCTCCACCGCCCCAAAAAATAGAACTTTCTTCAATAGTAGAAAAGTAAAACCCACATTTAAAAGGAATATAAAGTATTGGTTTACTGGGTTAAAACAGCTGCAACAGATTGTTCCTTCTCCAACACAACTCAACAATTCCACTCCATCACATGTTTTGGGGATTAAAGGGACACGCCGGATCCCTGAAGCACTTTAGCTTACTGAAATGCTTTATGTGAGGGGAGTGTTTCCTCTGGTTTTCATTTGACAAAAAAATGCAGGGTTCAATAGAAATTGGCACTTTTATAACCTTGTTACAACCCCTTGGTTGTCAGTTAGACAACCGGTCCTGTCATGGTTGTTTAGCTCATTGGAACTAAACTCAAGAGTCAGCAATTGCCCAGAGAACCTGCCGTGCAAATACTACTCGACGAGTCGCATTGGGACATCTGTGATTGGACAGCCACAGAAAATCTTGGCTTGTTTAGAAGGGAAGAGTTAGCAAAGGCTAAATACAAGAAAACTGTAGCCTTTGCTGGCTGTTTTAAGATATACCCCCTGAAAAAATGCATAATTAAAGGAACATGTATTTTCATTCGGGTTATATCACCTAAACAGGGGGGTTTATTTTGTATGTGTTCAGTGGTGTCCTTTTAAAAAGATAGGGATATGATATCATATTCCCATACCTCCCAATTCCAGTGTCCTGTGAATGGGGACACCAGTGGGAGGTAAAGGAAGCAGGCTAGTCACTCACTCTGCACTCAAAGGTTGACAGACCCACATGGAAAGGGGGCAGGTTTACTGGAGTTCATGGCTAGTCAGCTTGGTGTGAATGTACGCCAGACTGCCTGTCTGTTATACAGGCTGATCCACAGCACTGTTAATTTCGGCGACTAACAATTTTCGTGAGACCTAGTCGACTACAAGTTTTGAGATTTAGTCAACAAAAAAGAAAAAAAAAATCAGATGACTAAAATGCAACTAAAACTTAAATGGCTTTTTAGTCAAAAGACTATGACTAAAACTAAATTGAAATTTTCTGCCAAAATTAGCACTGGCGGGTTAGACACATAGGGGTGGGAGGAGAGGAAATGAGACACAATAGTAGAGACAAACAAATGGGGCTGTGGAGAGAAAAAGACACACGTGAAGGCAAAGAGCCACAGAGTAGCTGGGGAAGGGGCAAAAGAGACAGACAGGGCTTAGGAGAGAGACACCCAGAGGGGCTGGGGACACACAAAAAAACACAGAGGGGCTTGGGTAGGGGCAAAAGAGACAGATGGAGGCTTCAACTAAATCGTGTCGACTAAAACCTATGAGAGATTCAGTCAACTAAAACAATACTAAAACTAAAACAAATCAGACTAAAATACGACTAAAACGGCTTTTTTGTCAAAAGACTATGACTAAAAATAATAGAACATTTCTGTCAAAATTAACAATGATCCGCTGAGGGCAGATCCAGACACAGTTTCAGTGCTTCATGCAAGGTCCTAGTACCCTAAACATAGCAGAAGTTCATCTTATGATGCTCTTGTGCTATGATTGTTGGTGACAGTGGGACAGGACATTAAAATTGGGACTGTCCCGCCAAAATTGGGGAAGTTGGAAGGCATGCATTTCTGCCTGCTCTTTCACACACTGCACTGTGTAGACATGAGTGATGAGATTTATACTAAAGAAGCACAGTATGTATTTTCATCAAAAACAGTAAGTATATTTGTTGACTACGGAGAGTGAAAGTCCTTTCTGATATTATTCATCTTTTATTTGAAATGAGTGGTAAGATCTTACAATGCATAAATACCAGACTGGATTTACATCTCAGGTGCCTATAGGCAGTTAATTTTGCAGGATCACCCCCAAACACCCTCCCCAAAAAAGCAAACTGTTATGGACAGAATGTGAATATGTGAATCCCATGTCCAGGGCTTGAATGTTGTGTGCAGAGCTGAAATGCAGTTTGTAACTGTAAATCATCCACTGGTATAGGCACTCAAGCTAAAATTAAAATAGGAACTTTGTAATCACAAGGTAGGAACCCCTGATAAAGAGGCCCATGTAGGCAACTGCTTTCTGGGGAATTCAGCCTAAACAAATGGAATGGTAAAGATTCAGTTGGATGAAGTTGAACCGTGTGAATATTTTTAATGGTACCATGTATTTTTTGCACACTGGGAAAATTTTAGTAAAGACAGTTTTCTTTTGCTATAGAAATATGCTTCGAAGCATTTAGAAGAAAAAGTCAAAATTAGAAGGACATATTTTAGATAATATGGCTATTGATAAAGGTTTTTTCTTTGCATTTCCATGTATGCTAGTTTAGTTGGTTGGTAGAGTACAGATGGCTGGATGTTTGTACATGAAGACTAGGTGGGAAGTGATGGCCAAATTGAGAAAATGAAATATTAAACCTCCTGTTTATTTATTTTTATTATTATTATTTTTTTTATTTGTATTTTATTGTAGCATAAAGGTATACCTACCGATTTAAAAGCATAGCATGCTACATAATAAGTGCATTCAAAAATAGTAATAGACAGCAGCAGCTGACACAATACAGTAGTGAGTACAGCACAGTCTAACTGCCAAGATATAGGACATTATCAGATGATGAGTAGTATGATGAGTAGTGTAAACGCTGAAACATTCTGCTTCAAATAGGAGGGTATGAGTCTTGAAAGAGAGAGCATTTATGTAACAATACTTTGATGCAATAAGAGACAACGAATATAACAAAAGAAATCAATAATTATAAAATCTGCGTGATTAGGGTTATGTCATCTCCAATGGGGATAAACAAAACAGTGGTAACTGTTATTAAAAGGAAAGTCCATGTGCTATCCTTAGGAATGTTATCTTAGGAATGTTGCTCAGGTGCCAGCTGGGTTTGGCTCTGCTGCTGATGATCTGGGTTTCGGGAAAAAGGTTGGGTATTGCTCACCCACACTTGGGCCAAGTGTTGGTTGTTTGTCTAGCAGAGGCAGTCCCATTGCCCTGAAGAACGTCCCCGTGTCTGACTGGTGCAGTAATTGGATTCGCTTCCCATCGTGGAGCACTGATAGTTTGTGACCAGTACCCCAACAGTATGCCCCTTTATGTTCCCTTAAGTGCTGTGTGACAGGGAGGAGTCAGGTCATTGAAGAAGGAGAGATCAACTCCTTCAAAGTGGTATGTGTGTGTGTCACGGACAGCTGCCTGTACAAGTTGCTTGCTCCTTACCGACTGCAAACAGAGCAGTAAGTCTCTAGGGACCCCGGCTGGGGCTCTACACCCAGTTCCAAATTATTATGCAAATTATATTTTTCTCATTTACCTAAATAATTGATGTAAATAACAGTCGGCATAATTCTCATGTTATCAGATTGTAAAAGTACAATTCAAATTTTATTGAACAAACCTCCTAATGATAACAGTATTGTTTTAAACATAAAAAACTTACAATGCACTGTTCCAAATTATTACGCACAGTAAGTTTCAAAACACTTTATAGGTTGTAAAGAACTGAAAATTGTCATTTGTTGTGTTTGCAGCATATTTACTGAAATCAAAAGCTATTTCAATCAAACTTATAACAACATTTTAACTTTTTAACAGGTCACGTTACATTTTAACATAGGACCCCTTATTTGATAGCAGCTTCACAAGTCTTGCCTCCATTGAACTTGTGAGTTTTTGGACAGTTTCTGCTTGAAGTTGTTTGCAAGATGTCAGAATAGCCTCCCAGAGTTGCTGTTTGGATGTAAACTGCCTCCCACACTCATAGATCTTTTGCTTGAGGATGCTCCAAAGGTTCTCAATAGGATTGAGGTCAGGGGGGGATGGAGGCCACACCATGACTTTCTCTCCTTTTATCCCCATAGCAGCCATTGATGCAGAGATATTCTTTGTCATGCATGAAGATGATTTTATTATGGAAAGCATAGTTCTTCCTTCTGTACCAGGGTAGAAAGTGGTCAGTCAGAAACTCCACATACTTTGCAGAGATCATCTTTACACCTTCGGGGACCCTAAAGGGGCCTACCAGCTCTCTTCCCATGATTCCGGCCCAAAACATGACTCCACCACCACCTTGCTGACGTCACAGCCTTGTTGGAACAGGGTGGCCGTCCACCAACCAACCACTACTCCATCCATCTGGACCATCTAGGGTTGCACGGCACTCATCAGTGAACAGGACTGTTTGAAAATCAGTCTTCATGTATTTTTCTGCCCAATGCAGCTGCTTGTGAGCATTGGTTTTCTGCTTGTGAGCATTGGTTAGTGGTGGCCGAATAGAAGGTTTATGCACAGTTGCAGTTGCAAGACTCTGGAGGACTCTACACCTTGATGTCCGTGGGACTCCAGAGGCACCAGCAGCTTCAAATATCTGTTTGCTGCTATGTAATGGTATTTTAGCAGCTGCTCTCTTGATCCGATGCATGGATCTGGCAGAAATCTTCCTCAATGTGCCTTTATCTGCACGAACCCGTCTGTGCTCTGAATCAGCCACAAATCTCTTAATAGTAAGATGATCACACTTAAGTTTTCGAGAAATATCTAATGTTTCCATACCTCGTCCAAGGCATTGAACTATTTCACTCTTTTCGGCAGCAGAGAGATCCTTTTTCCTCCCCATATTGCATGAAAACGGTGCTCTGCTTAATAATGTGGAACACCCTCCTTTAGTAGTTTTTCCTTAAATTGGGCTCATCTGGCAATCTAATTATCACAGGTGTCCGAGATTGTTTTCAGTGATCAAAAGAGCCCTGAGACACAATGCCATTCATGAGTTAAACTGAAAAACAAAATATTTAATCTTTGTGACACTTAAATAGAATTTGCATAATAATTTGGAACAGGGTGTAGCTGACTTGGGAATCCAAATATAATTCTCCCGTGAGATAGCTTTAGCTTTGAATGGCGATAGGATGGAGCTCAGTAGGCTTCGGGTGTATTGAGGGTCTTCGGTGTCTGTGATGTCCTCAGGGACACTCCGAAACCTGAGGTTACGCTGTCGCTTGGAGTCTTCAAGCACTGCAATTCTACCTTCCATGAGGAGGTTTGCTTGCTTGAGCTTGTCCATCTGGGAATCCTGTTCATCCTGTCTGCCTTTTGTAATTTCACCATAGTCTTCCAGTGCCTGCAATCTAGCTGTTATGGCCCCCATGTTCTCCCAGACTAATGTGATGTCTGATGCAAATAGGGCTTTCATCTCCTCCAGCAGGTTTTGAATATCGGCCTTGCTTGCAGGCGTTTGCTCCAGACTGAGGCTGGTTCTTGCCCGGCGATCCACAGGTAGGTGCTGTGGCTGAGGATCAGTGTTTGCCCCTGTTACACTGTGTGATGGGGAAGGAGTATTCTTCCACTTCGCTCTCCTCCAATGCAATGTCGGAGTCTTCACTCACAGGAGCAATTTTAGTAGGCCCCGGTTATGTAGTCACTCTGAGCAAAGTGCCAATATATTTTAAAAGAGGAGGCTATGTCGCTTCTCCAGAGTTAAGCATTTTTCCCCATAGTGCCTGGACGTCTTTTGGGAGAATATCGTCCAATTTCACCAGTTTTATGCCGTTGTAACTCAATGCTCTCACGGGAGCTCTTAGCATGTGCGTCTGCTTCACTTGGTAGCTAGCGAAAATCCTAAACCTCCTGTTTATTATACAACAGGAGTGGAAGAAAATTATGTCCAATGAATTCATGTTAAGTGTTAGAAATATAAGGTGGTGTTATAGCTTTTTATGGAAAGATGAAGGGGGCATGGTCCAGGGCATTGAGATGTTTGGAGGAGCAGGAAATATGTCACCAGATTAAAGGACCATGTGATGGATGGCCTGATTTGTTTGGTGCAAGCCACAAGCTCGCTGCGCCATTTTTGTGACAGTTTTCCATGTATCTTGATATCGCTGTATTGTGTACCTGTATTATACATGGAGCAGTGTGTGTGTCTGTATATGCAGCTGTGGGTCAACAAAGGGGGGCAGCTACTTCCGACCAGATTACGCAGACTTCAGGGAACAAGATCAATATCTGGGACAAGTCCCGTTTGACCATGTCCACCAAGCTCCCGACCAGCACGGTCCCCAAGTCATTACCCACCAGATGGATGACCAAAACAGAGGGCGTCCCTAGCAAGTGAGAGAGCCTGACCAATTCCAGGAGGAGCAGGACCCACCTCATGCCCCTGGCACCGAACCACCGCATTCGAAGGTGTAAAGCTGAGAAGCTCCCCGCCCGGCCGGGCCGCCGCATCCTGCCATGCCCAGTAGATATATGAGTGCCGGATCAACCGGACCCTGCGGGGAACCGAACCTAAGGAAGCAAAACATTTAGCTTAGTAGACTGGTGGGACGCACATATGAAACAAACCTCCTAGAGTCCCACTTCCCTGTCCTCTGCACCTCTTGATCCAGCAAACCCAGCCCTCCAAGCCTCCGCTGCAGCGCCAATCCGGAAAGAGTGCCCACCAAACTCCCCACCCTCCAAACCCAACGCAGCCAACCCTAAACAAAAAACGTGTACAAATTGAAAATGGGAGAGGAAACTTCCATCCTCTTGCACCAGTAGTGGGCCAGAGAGCCCAGGGCGAACCCCGCAGAAATTCCTAAACACCAAGACCAACAGGTGGCCAACCCAGGGACCACAGCCAGCCTAACCCACTTACCCTTCCTGAACACATCATTCTTGGAGCGTCAAATCTTAAAGTACACTAGGTCCTGCCCTTCCAGAACATCAGAAGAAAGGATCCCCCCACCGGCCAACCTGCTCGGACACACCAACTCCCCAATACTCAAGGCCCCAGAGAATGCGAATGAAAAGGCGAGGCGAAACAGCTACACCTCAAAATCCGAGAAACATAACATAACTGCGCCAGGAGTGCACCCGACACTGGCCTCCTCGAATCTACAGCAATGCGACCCCTGTGCAGCCCCTTAACTGCTTGCCGCCCCAGAAACTCCTTGGTCACATCCCCCCAACCAGTGGTGTCGCAAGGGGGGCCCCCCCTACATCATGCTGTGCCCCCCTTGGGCCCCCCCAAATGCCGGCAACTTGCTGGCAATGTGTTTAAATGATATTCCCTCGGGCTGTAAGCCACGCCCTCGCCGTTAAGCACCCGAGCGAGTGTGACAGCCCGGGGGAGGGAATGCAGGGCAGAGCAGCTCAGCTGGAATGGTGCAGGTCCCGTCCCCAAACCAAGCCCCGCCTCCAGCACATAAGCCCCACCCCCGCCGTTAAGCAGCCGAGCATGCTGCTGCTGGAAAGGATGGAAGATGGCTGTCTGACTCCCAGCAACAGCCTCCAGTGACAGGTAGGCTTGGTGTGTGTGTGTGTGTGTGTCTGCTAGTGAGGAAGCTTGTGTGTGTGTCTGTGTGTATGGACTCAGCAGTCTGTGTGTGGGCTCAGCAGTTTGTGTGTGTATGGACTCAGCAGTCTGTATATGTATGGACTCAGCAGTCTGTGTGTGTGTGTGTATGAACTCAGCAGTCTGTGTGTGTGCGTGTGTGTGTGTGTGTATGAACTCAGCAGTCTGTGTGTGTGTCTGTTTGTATGGACTCAGCAGTGTGTGTGTGTGACTCAGCAGTCTGTGTGTGTATGGACTCAGCAGTCTGTGTGTGTATGGACTCAGCAGTCTGTGTGTGTGTGTGTGTGTGTATGAACTCAGCAGTCTGTGTGTGTGTGTATGAACTCAGCAGTCTGTGTGTGTATGGACTCAGCTGTCTGTGTGTGTATGGACTCAGCAGTCTGTGTGTGTATGGAATCAGCAGTCTCTGTGTGTGTATGGACTCAGCAGTCTGTGTGTTTGTGTGTATGAACTCAGCAGTCTGTGTGTGTGTGTATGAACTCAGCAGTCTGTGTTTGTGTGTGTGTGTGTATGAACTCAGCCGTCTGTGTGTGTGGACTCAGCAGTCTGTGTGTGTATGAACTCAGCAGTCTGTGTGTGTGTATGGACTCAGCAGTCTGTGTGTGTGTGTGTGGACTCAGCAGTCTGTGTGTGTGTGCATGGACTCAGCAGTCTGTGTGTGCGTGTATGAACTCAGCAGTCTGTGTGTGTTTGTATGGACTCAGCAGTCTGTGTGTGTATATGTGTATGAACTCAGCAGTCTGTGTGTGTGTGTATGGACTCAGCAATCTGTGTGTGTGTGTGTATGGACTCAGCAGTCTGTGTGTGTGTGTATGGACTCAGCAGTCTGTGTTTATGTATCTGTGTGCGTGTATGGACTCAGCAGTCTGTGTGTGTTTATGTGTGTGTATGGACTCAGCAGTCTGTGTGTGGACTCAGCAGTGTGTGTTTGTGTGTGTGTGTGGACTCAGCAGTCTGTGTGTGTGTATGAACTCTCAGCAATCTCTGTGTGTGTATGAACTCAGCAGTCTGTGTGTGTATATGGACTCAGCAGTCTGTGTGTGTGTGTATGGACTCAGCAGTCTGTGTTTATGTATCTGTGTGCGTGTATGGACTCAGCAGTCTGTGTGTGTATGGACTCAGCAATCTGTGTGTGTGTGTCTGTGTGTGTATATGGACTCAGCAGTCTGTGTGTGTATGGACTCAGCAGTCTTGTGTGTGTGTGTGTATGAACTCAGCAGTCTGTGTGTGTGTGTGTATGGACTCAGCAGTCTGTGTTTGTGTGTCTGTGTGTGTATGGACTCAGCAGTCTGTGTGTGTATGGACTCAGCAGTCTTGTGTGTGTGTGTGTATGAACTCAGCAGTCTGTGTGTGTGTGTGTGTATGGACTCAGCAGTCTGTGTTTGTGTGTCTGTGTGTGTATGGACTCAGCAGTCTGTGTGTGTCTATGTGTGTGTATGAACTCAGCAGTCTGTGTGTGTGTGTGTGTATGGACTCAGCCGTCTATATGTGTATATGGACTCAGCAGTGTGTGTGTATGGACTCAGCAGTCTGTGTGTAAGTGTATAAATCAGCCTGTGTGCATTCAGCAACGCCTGTGTGCATTCAGAAATCTGTGTGTGTATTCAGCAGTCTCTCAGGTTTAGTATTCAGTGTACTGTGTGTATGTACTCAGCAGTCTATCAATAATAAAAATTTGTATTCCTGTGAGTTGTTGTGTAGGAAGGGCCCCAGTGCACTGCTTTGCCCGGGGCCCTTAACACTTTTAAGATGGTACTGCTTGTGTGTGTCAGTGAGCTTCTATTTAGTGAGCATGTGTGTGTCAGTGAACTTGTCTTTAGTGAGCTTGTGTGTGTCCCTGAACTTCTTTATAGTGAGCCTTGTATTTATACAAGTGAGTTTGTCTGTAGTAAACTTGTCAGTGAGCCTATTTGCGCATGTCATTAAGCTTGTGTGCTCACTGTACAATATATATATATATATATATATATATATATATATATATATATATTGACTTGTAGGAATGGCATACATTTTTTTCCAGGGCTGCTTTGGATTCCCAGTTTGGCTCTGCCAGCGAGTGCGCTTTACCGCTGAATCATCCGTGTGAGCTTCCGCACACTTTAGCCCTGTTACACGCGTCTGGGAGCTGCTGTTGACAGGTACTAGTAGTCTAGAGATTGGGACATGGGGTATATGCTCAGCTATCTGTATAATACTATAGTGCTGTTCTCTGTATAATACAGATCTGTGTGTGTATAATATCCCGGGATAGTCAGTGCTCCCTGTATAGTGCTGCTCTTTGTATAATACAGGTCTGTGTTTGTATAATATCCTGGAACAGTCATTGTTCCCTGTATAGTGCTGCTCTCTGTCTTAGGATAATATTCACAAACAGACCTGTATTATACAGAAAGCAGCACTATACAGGGAGCACCGACTGTCCCAATTTATTATACATACAACCCTGTATTATACAGAGAGCACTGACTGTCCAGGGATATTATACACAGACAGTAATTGATAGCTGTGCTGCAAAATGTCCTTGGATTTTTTTTTCAAATGTTGGCAACTATGGCACTGTATCAAGGGAAATGTGTTTTTTTTTCACATTCACAATTTTTATTGAATTTTGATAAAACAAAGGGATGTGGGATACAAAACAGAAAAAGGGAGGGGGAGGGTAATGGGTAACATCATAAGACCAATTAATATTTTGTACAATATCATTTTATTGCATAGTATGTTTACTGTACGTGATGATGGCGAGGTCTCGTGTGAAAGTAACTGGGTGATCCCTCTCTCAACAAATAGTGAGTTCGGTAATAGAGGTTGGGTATTGGCGGAGGGAGGGGGGTAGGGTGGGTGACCAGCGGTTTACAACATTTCCTGTCAATCTATAATATTTTACGTGTAACATTGTACGTGCGTCATCGTATGTGGTGTCACCTAGTTGTCTTGTGGGTGTAGTACGACATGTGTGTGGTATCCTGTGTATCACCTCTTTATGTGTGTGCGAGTATGTGTACCTATGGTTTGGAGTGGGGGGTACTGCTTGGTCTTCCCAAGTGGTTTTTGTCGGTCGTCACTATGTGGTGTATATGTCGACCCACGATTCCCAGGCCTCTTGATATTTTTGTGATTGTTTAGTGGAAGTAGTGGACATTCGTTCATAAATATGGTATTGGTGGATTTTGTCCATTAGTTGTTGTCTGGTGGGGCAGGTGGTCTGTTTCCACCCGTTCGCTATGAGGTTTCTAGCTGCTAGTATGATTATCATCACCACTTGCTTACGGGGTTTGGTCATGGAGGTGGGAAGGAGCAGAAATAAGCAGACTAAGGGGTCGAGAGTGATATTATTGATATTTAACGACTTGAGGATGCCTTTACCATGGCCCCAGAGGGGTGCCAAGACTGGGCATTCCCACCAGATGTGAATCATTGTGCCTTTTGCTTCTCTACATCTCCAGCATTCTGCTGGAACTGTTGGGTAGATCATGTGTAGTTTGCTAGGTGTTAAGTACCATCTATAGACCAGCTTCCTATGAGCTTCTATGTGTGAGTAGCAATTGGTGATACCTTTGAGTGTATTGAGGGATTGTAACCAGTCATTACCAGATGGCGAGGATGTGTATTCTGTTTGCCATTGTTGTACATAGGTAGGGGTTTTTGTGTCAGTGTTGCTCAACAGTATGTTATAACAAAGAGACAATGTCTTGGGTTTTGTGGGTGAGAGCCAGCAGCGATCATATACAGGGTACAATGGGTGGGGGTCAGAGAGTGCTATATCAGATTTTGTGAGTATTTTGTAGGTGGCAATGCTTTTTAGTTGGAGGTACTGAAAGATGGAGGAGTTAGGTAGCTCGTATTTTTGCTGGAGGTCAGGGAAAGACATGAGCTGTTGGGTTTGGTACGTGTCTGCTATGTGTTTAATGCCATGCTTTTCCCAGGAATTCATCGTCAACCCCGAGGCCAAGAAGTTCAGGGCTGTTATTGGGGCTCGTGGATGGAACTTGTTAATTTTTTTTTGTGTGTGGTGTAAGGATTCCCATTGTTTAATAGTAAGAACCGAGGTATTGAACAAGTGAGGCGTGCTTGGTCTAATTTGTGCAGGTGCCAATAATATCGTTACCAGGGAGTTTTTCATTGTTGGGTGTGCGTTTTGCATAGAGGTATTAGCGGTTTAAAGTTCAGGTCAAATGCGTCTGTGGGGGAAGGGCCAAGTTTTACTCCTAGGTAGGTGATGTCGGTAGTTCTCCAGTCAAAGGTGTGGGATTGTTTAAGCTGTGTTTTCAATGAGCTTGGTAGGTTTATTGGGAGAGCTTGTGTCTTGCCTTGATTAAGCTTGTAGTAGGATAGTTGAAATGTGTTTGTTTTTTTAATAATCCCTGGTGGAAAATAATGAATCCTCCACCATGGATTATAAAAAAAAAAAAACATTCTGTCGGGGGCGGGGCTTAACATGCGGCAGGGGCGGTGAGTGGGGCGGACAGCCGCTGCCCCACTATCCTGCACCACAGTACCCAGCTTGAGGCACAATTCCAGGTGGATCCGGACCTGTTCCCCCCCCTACTTTTGTCCCTGGCCCACCATGTGCCCCCCCTAAAAATTAATCCTAGAGATGCCACTGCCCCCAACCCTGCATTTTAAACAGAAAACTCAGCCTGGACAAGCACGAGGACACCGCCGAAGGCGACATGCCCGCAGAAACCCAACTCTCCAAGGGCCGCAACAGACTTTGCAATAGAGTGGGCGTAGCCTGAAAGACCCCTACCTCTGATTCCAGCTCGTGCCATTCCACCCATACCTACGATTATCTGGCCCAAGTGGAACTAGACACCGACCCACGAACCAGGTCCATCAGCCTGCCGAACTCAGGAACCACAGCTCCACCGGACACGGGCCACCTTTCTCGTCCCCGTATGGCACAGCCGCTCGGAACTCCACCCACTGTGAACGAGAGAGAGCATCTGCAATCACATTATGAACCCCAGGAACATGCAGCACCCTACATGACACATTAAGGCACAGGCACCGTAACACTGAGCGCCGAAGCAAACGTATCACCAGCGGAGAAGAGGCAGAGAGCTGGTTAATCTATTGCACAACCCCCAGGTTATCACAATGAAAAATGACCCACCAGTCCCTCAAGTCCAAACCCCATAACTCCAATGCCACCACAATGGGGAAAAGCTCAAGGAAGGCAAGATTCCAAGTCAGGCCAGAGGCACACCATGCCTCCGGCCAACTGTCAGCGCACCAGCGCGACCCTAAGATTGCCCCAAAGCCAACAGAACCCGCAGTGTCCGTATAGAGGTGAAGATCCGAACTGGACACCTCTGGCACCTGCCAGTAAGACCTCCCATTATAATCAGCCAGGAAAGAATCCCAGACATCCAGGTCGTCCCGCAACTGCCGCGTGATCCGAATAAAATGCTGAGGCCTCGCCATCTTAGTGGTCGCGGCCGCCAGGCACCTGCTGAAAATCCACCCCATCGGCATAATACGACATGCGAAGTTCAACTTCCCCAACATAGACTGCAGCTGGCACAACTGCATTTTCTGCAAGCCCCAGGCCACCGCCATTTCCCAGCGCAGCCCTTCCACTTTATTCTGAGGCAAACGGCACTCCATGGCCACCATATGCCCAAGAAGCTAAGGCACGTCACCAGCCCCACCGTCTTATCATGCGCTAGGGGAGCCCCGAAGTGCCCAAACACCCTTTCCACTGTGTCAAGCAAGATCCGACAAGCTGAAAAACCATGCCTTATCACCTTTAAACCGACCACCAGCAGACTGCTGGACCTTGGGAGAGGCTGGCTCATCGAGCTTCAGTCCCTGGGAGGAGATGGCCACACTTCCACAAGCAGGGCCTTCTCCGGCGGTGAGTGGGGCAGACGGCCTCTGCCCCACTATCCTGCACCACAGTACCCAGCTTGAGGCACAAATCCAGGTGGATCCGGACCTGTTCCCCCCCCTTGGACCGGTGGGGGTGATCCTGGTCCTCACCCTGTGGCCCTACTTAAGAGAACGCAAATGGAGTCGGGGGACCCGAGAGCAGCCTCCAAGATGGCGCGCGATGTGCGCGGGAGGCAGGTGGAAGATCTGCGCCATCTTCGTGTTCGCAGCAGACAACGGGGCTCCAACACCCCAACCCTCCAACAGAGAGGGGCTGACAACCCACTGCCTACCCTCGCATCCACACATGCCGAAGTCGAGCGGTACAAGCGACAGCGGCAAGCGGATCATGGCGACCGCACTAGGGGGAAGGGATGTGGCACCACTACCACTCCAGCCCTGGAAATCAGAGCCTGAAACAAAGAGAGCAACCTCCACACGAGGACCCACCTCACACTCACCTGCCGCCCAGCTCGCATCACCGCAACCCAGATAATGGCAAACTCAGGCGATTACAACTGAGCTACCACCCAGGCCTGACACCAGCCCTCAGAAGATTGACAGAAGCAAGTTTCATAACAGGCGGCGGCCATTTAAGAACACTCAGCGAAGACCCCACAGAACAACATGGACTATGCCTGGATACCTGCTCTGACGGACGCTCGTTCCCTGCTACACAGCACTAGCAGAGCAGGTATCGGTTAAACGGAGAACTCCCCCCCCCCCTGTCTGTGTGGGCTCGGGACCACCCTGAAGCCAGCCTTCATCACGGAGAAAACCTGGGTAACCCCTCTGATACACCAGGGTGCCAGAACTCTTATGGCGACCTACTTGAATCACACAAGCAAATTATTTAGCATTCTGTCTTGTGTGTTAACCTAATGTACACGCAGTCTACACGGCACTTACAAGCACACACTCACATAGATATCGCTGCCCTACAAGCAACGCACAAACCAGAACACCACAACCACACAGCAGCATGTCATACAAAGCCAAACGTACCCAACCAAGTGAGAACCTATATGACTGTAACTGATTATAGGCACTATGAAGGAGTGTCAAAGATTGATTAAAAGAAGTCGAGTAGGTTTGGTAACATGCTGAGATATTTTTATTTATTTATTTTTAAATTTTTGTTGTGCATGTGGGAACAAAGCATTTTCAGATGCCACAATAGCATATACATATATAATCTCATATAATCAAGTTAAACAGTGGCATATTAAAATTGCCCATTTTTGTTTTATGGGCTCGCTTAACATTGCTAGTACAATTCTAAGAGTAGTATTAATAGATAAGACATTGTGTATTCATATGATGGTAGAGTAGGTTATATCTTATGATGAGTAACGCAGTGTGACATAGGCATAAGTGGTACATTAGCTTAGATCACGCCAAAATAACTAGTTCGGAGCAGACTGCTAGACATGTTAACTGGGTGTACCTTAACGGGTGATGTGAGTTCTAACTGACCAACAAACCTCTGGTCGCCTAGTGTAGCATATATGCATTAGGGGGGTGGGGCATGTCCGCAGTTGTGTCCAGCCTGTAAGGCTCTCTGGTGTAGACTGTATGATGTTTCCGATGTGTTGGGTATGTAACAACCCGCTATGGGCATATGTGCAGGCTGACTGACTGCAGGTTTAACCCCTGGTTTGCTGCCTGTAAGCATAGGTTTATGCAGGCAACAAAATGAGACTTAAACAGAAAAGTAACGAAACACAAAATTAATGATGGTGTTTGACTATAACCTGACAAGCTATAGGGTAGCACAAGTCCTTTGGTATGTACACGTGTACCGCGCTCGGGGACATGTGGCACTGTCAGCCAATGCCTCGGCTTGGTATGGTCGCGTGGCCCCTGGATGCATCCGGATGCATCCGGGTATGAAAGACTTACTTGGCCCCAACAGCCTTTACAGGTCTAAGGCATCACATATGTAACATTGTCATAGCTTTGATAAACTTGCACATTTTTAGTACAATAAGGTTAAGGCAAGCTAGATATAGGGTGCTCAGGTACATTAAAGATTCAAAACATGTGCTGTTGATGAAGTCCACTGGAGCTCTGCGAGGTCAGTGACGCAGACCTCTCAGCCCGGCATCATACGACCGTTTGAGCAGAGACGCAGACCCGTCTGTTTAATCTTCTGGCCGCTCGGAGTGGAGTGGTAGCTGAATCACAGCATGAGGGTAGGTCTGGAAGGTGCCACTTCTCCTGCCCTAGACATTGCACGTGCAAGCGTCCTGCTCCCTCACTTCTGGCTCTACGAGAGGTCATTGACAGGGTTCCTGGTAAAGGGGGTTTGGTTTGAGAAGTTTCCTCTGGGTGCTCGAGCCCCGTGAGGGCTTCATTTTCCGGTGTGCAGGCTGGAGCAGCCAAGAGTAACTGCTGGCAGCTAGTGTGCTTGCAGATCCTGAATGAGAGGTGTGATCGGTATGTGTCGGTGTTATCTCTGCTGCGTCCGTGCTCAGCGTAGGCTGCGGTGCTGCCATTTTGTATACTGGGCGCGGGAATCCGGGTGTTGAATAAGCTGGCCTGGAGGACCGCGTAGCATTGGATCCCTCCAGTGGAGGCCAGGATAACCCCCCCGGCCCATGGGGGAAATGGGACCAGCAAGCGTTAAAGTCGGCTTGTGGCAGTTGGAAAGGGAGGCAGGATGGCGGCCGTCCACCCCGCTTTCCTCCCAAGTAGGCCGCAGCCTCTGAAGCTTTGTGCTTCCCACAGGGGGTCCAAAACTCCCGATCTCAGGGCCGCTACCTCTCCCACTGCTGTGTAGGTATCTCTTGGGCTCATTTTGAGTGCACAAGACGTGGATTGTAGCTTAAGAGGCCAGATTCCTCCGGAGCCTCTCCTCCATGCGACCGGGCAGCATGGCGGTCCAGCCCCGCCTCCCTCCATGCTGAGATATTTATCACCCGGGTGGCCCCCCGCTAAAGTAAGCACTAATAAATGCACAGTTCGTAAGTAATGGGAATGCATAGTATTAATCGAAGATCTGCTCAGAAACAAAAAGGATAATAGACATAAATATTGCTTGGTATGTAAGCCTTGTAATGAATGACAGGAAGTTAGCATGAGTCAGCCGATGCCTTCCACTTACATTGTATAGTCCTGCTTCGGTTTTACTGCTAGCATTGTTAGGTGCGACATCCAGATGGTGTGGTGGAAAGGGCTTGATGAGGGCAGCAATTTCCCAAGGAGTGTGCTGGCTTTCCCAGTAGATGCAGGTTGAAGACTCCTAGGTGTGCCATGCACCACAACACCGCCACCAGGGTGTTCCCGATGCCTCCCTCCCACTCTGGCTTGCCTCAGGACTGGAGCCATGGTTGTTCAGTGGGAGCTGGCTGGTAAGTCCTGGGGTAGGTGGTCTATCCGCTCACCACTAGAAAGCAAGTTGAAGTGTTGGATTAGGTTATCCCAAAAAGCTGCATAAACCATGCTGTTTGAGGAGGGAAAGTCAGCAAGACATACAGGAACCGCCATTTTAGGTAGGGCCTCTCTGTCACACAGTGTCTTCAGCGGCTCAGAGTTGAGGTCTATCAGCAAGGCCCCCCAAGGTTAGGACTGGGATCACCCCACCGCGTGGAACTTCAGTCTCGCAGTAATTAGGCAGGATAGTAGAGAGGTGGCTGTCCACTCCACTCACCACCAAAGTAGCCACGAGGTCCGAGGATCTCCCTCCCAGAGACTGAGAAGCAATATACAGGCTCAGCCTCGGAAACAGCACTGCTCTGCAGTATAGACCGCAGTTTCCAGGCGTCTTATAGGTAACTGATCGGCTTTGGTGAACTTAACAGTAGAAACTGCACGAGCTGCATGATGGGCTGCCCAGCCCCATCCAGCCCCCCCCCCCCGTAAAAAAAAATCTTGTATTTTATTATATTTATGGGACACATGAGGGTGGACCTATATAACTAGAGACAGGGACACTAAAGCATTACGAATACAGGTTTGTCTTCCTAACACGTTAGTGTTTCTTTAAAAGAAGAGGAGAAAATATGAGTATGCAATTTGAAAGTTCGTATGGGTTCAGTGCAGGATAGAAGTTGTTTGTAGGAAAACAGACTAATAGTAGCTCATGGGCCCAGAGGAGTGATGTAAGGCTAAAAATGGAATATTAATTCATGAGTTATGGAGAAAGAAAGTAAAACCTTTGGCATAATGGAGTAGGAAGGCACGTGTGAGCATAACAAGAAACACAAAGCAGAAATGATGATGGAAAATAGTTAAAGGGTGTTCTGTATGTTCCTTCTTAGTGGCAGCAACAAGATCTCAGCTGATGATAAGAAATACGGTTGTATCTATATAAGAAAATAAAGTTAGGGTGGGTGTGGGAAACGTTAGCTTATTATGACAAAGCTTGGATGTAGTGCAATAATTATACCATTTAGAAAGACTGTAGTGGGTCAAACGCGTATTCTGCATTTTCTTTGATACTGCCTGAAACTTATGCTACTAGTTTGTGTGCTTAGTTTATTCTCCTTTTTATTTAACCCCTTAAGGACTGATGCAATTGTACACGTTCTGAGCAAAACAAAATGTAAACAAAAACTGGAATTTCCGCTATAGGTCTGTTCAACCATAATCCACCTCTTCAATATTAAGTGCACCCGCACTTATTATATATCATTTTGTCTGGGAGAAACAGGGCTATTCATATATATATATATATACATATATATATATATATATATATAAAAACATAATTTTTTATGAGTAATCTAAAAAAAGTGAGAAATTAAGATTTGTTTTAACCCCTTAAGGACCAAACTTCTGGAATAAAACTTTGTTTTAGTTCTACGTGGCATTTGAACTGTGATAAAATACACATATTTGAATTCAGCAATGTCTCACGAGTACAACACTGCCCTCCATGTACAGGTTTTATGGTGTTTTGAAAAGTTACAGGGTCAAATAAAGAATGTTACATTTTTCAGTTTATGCACATTGAAATTTGTCAGATTACTAATGTTGCATTTGAGACGGTATGGTAGCCCAGGAATGAGAAATACCCCATGATGGCATACTATTTGCAAAAGTAGACTTTCACTGATATTAATATCATCGTAATACAATTTACCTTTTTGAAACACTAATATTTGTGTTCAGCGAAGTCTCTTGCTGATTGCATTTGTTCTGGTGAGTCGAATCATTCCTGTCAAGCTTTTTGCAGTAAACATTGTCTTTTCAGAGAAAATGCAGTGTTTACATTACAGCCTAGTGATAGTTTCACTGGCCACTCCTCAGATGGCTACTAGAGATGCTTCATATTGTGCAGTACTGTCATTCAGTGTCTCCACAATCTGCATGCAGACACTGGACTTTCCTCATAGAGATGCATTGATTCAATTGATCTCAATGAGGAGATGCTGATTGGCCAGGGCTGTGTTTGACTTGTGCAGGCTCTGCCCCTGATCTGCCTCCTTGACAGTCTCAGCCAATCCCATGAGGAAGCATTGTGAGTGGCTCATAGAATCACCTCTGATGATGTCAGCTGTAAGCAGGCAGATTAGGGGCAGAGACAGCAATTGTAGACTTAAATACAAGTAAGATTTTACTATATTTAGGGAGTCAAAGGGGGCTGGGCAGAGGGGGGGGGGGCTAGATGGTGGTTTTTAACACTATAGGGTCAGGAATACATGTTTGTGTTCCTGACCCTATAGTCTTCCTTTAATACTCAAGGCCTACTTTACTCTTCTGTTTTCAATGCACACTTATACCTGTATGGTCCTTCATCAAAATCTTTTAATTTGGCAATCTTTTTTTTATTGAGGTTTTCGCATTGCAACATACATAGTAAGCAATGCAAGACATAAAGTAAAGCAAGATTAAAGCTTTTTACATTGCATTAGATCAGTGAATACCTCATTTTTAAACAAAAGGAAAAGTAGTTATTGACCTTGCCAAATAGAGGCACAACGTACAAAATAAGTTTTATATATATTAGAGATTTCACCCTTGCAGAAGATAGGTCACTGCCTCAATATATGAGCACAAAAGACAATAGGAATGTTGTCAAAAATTCTACATAAAAGAAGAAAATACAGACCAGCAATAACCCAGTATGTGCAGCGTTTCAACCTGAAACACTGCACATACAGGGTTGGTGTAAGGATTTTTGGCTACACAGGCTAAAAAAAACAGGCCACCCTAAAAGGCATCCTTACCTGTGTGTCCCTTAATCCCCCCTCTTATTTCTTACCCCTTTCATGTTTCTTATCCTCTCCTTTTTTGTCTTACATTCCATCTTATCCCCCATTTTTTTCCTTTGTGTCTTTTACACCTCACCCTTTCCGTGTCGCTTACTTCTTTCCAACCCCTTTGTGTATCTCTTTCTACCCCAGCCCCTTTGTGTGTCTCTTCCCCCCGAGCCCCTTAGTGTGTCTCTTTCTCCCCTGAGTCCCACTGTGTGTCTATTTCTACACCAGCCCCTTTGTGTTAAAACGACCATCTAGGTGTCTATTTCTACCCCCTTTCCCCCTTTAAAAGGTAAGAAAAGTTGCATTATTTTCAGCGCCACGCATGTCTGCTGACACTGGCCTCTCCCCCGATTCACCTCCTTGCTGAAATCATCAGAATTTAGGATTTCAGCCAATCGGAAAGCATTGTTACACACTCATAGACAAACAGTCTCACTGATATACATAAGCTCATTGACATAAAAACACAAGCTCACTCACTAGCAGTCACACACACACACACACATGCAAGCAAGCTAACTCACTAGCAGGAGCACACACAGCTAAATGTAATGGTTCTGGTGTCTATAGCCTTTCCCTGCAGGCTTTTCAATGTAAACATTGACTTTTCAGAGAAAAGGCAGTGTTTACATTGCTTCCTAGTGACACCTCTAGTGACAGTCACTCAGACGATTACTAGAGGTGCTTCCTGTGTCAGTGCTGCACAGTGTGCAGCATCTACATTCAGGGCCTCCACACTCTGGAGGCACTGAAGTTCCTCATAGAGATACATTGATTTAAAGGACTACTATAGGCACCCAGACTACTTCAGCTCAATTAAGTGGTCTGGGTGCCAGGTACCTCTAGAGAAACTGCTATGTTTACACTGCAGGGTTAATCCAGTCACACTGACAGCCACTAGAGGCCGCTTCCACAATTCTCACTGTGAAAATTGAGTAATGCGTTTTTAATGCGCACACAGCTCTTGCTCGGGAGCCAGCGTCGGAGGGGGAGGAGAGGTCACCAGCACTGACCTCTTCAGCCCAGCGGCAGGGTTGCCATGAGGGTTGGGGGGGACCTAATGACCCTATAGTGCCATCAAGCTTGATGATCTCAGCCATAGAGGCACATAGTAAAAACAATATTTTTAAACAAACACATACACCATGACAGAAACAGAAACACACATATACCATGACAGACACACATACACACCCCATGACACACACAAAGCATGACAAAGACACATACCATGACAGACACACACATACCATGACAAACACACACATGCACCTTGACAGACACACACACACACACACACACCTTGACAGACACACACACACCATGACACAGACATACCATGACACAGACACACACAGCATGACAAAGACAGACACACACCATGACACCATTCAGTAATTTTATTCGGGAAATTTTTTGAAACAGGGATAGAAGAGCAACAACCCCACCTCCAAAGAAAACTCAGACAAAAAAGAATGTCCAGCACTCTCCAAAAATAACATACTGTTATTTTATTTTGTGCATTGTAGCAAGAAGCACACAAACAGCAGCATTTTGGCTCACACATGAGCCTTTTTCAAGCTAGCTAGCCTTTTTTATTAACATGAAAAAGGTACCTGTGTGAGCTGAAACCTTGCTGCTGGTATGCTTCTAGCTATGCACTAAATCAGCGTTTCCCAATTGGTGTTCCCTTGAACCCTAGGGTTCCGCAAGAACAAAATTGGGGTTACGCGGCATTTCGCCACATCCAAGATGGCCGCCACTACCTGCTGTTCCCGCCCTGCCGTCAGCCCGCCTTGCCATCAGCACACCCTACCGTCCAAGCCCGCCTTAGCGCCCGCCCTACCATCAGCCAGCCACTTAGCTTGGCCGTTAGAGAGCCGTCCAGCCATCAGCAAGCCAGCCCTGTCGTCAGCCATTTTCTATCAATCGTGGTAGAGGAGTGATAGAGAGTGGACCTGATAGTTAAAGCTCTGTTATTGTCATAGAAAGCTCTGTTAGGTGGGGACATAGAAAGCTCTGTTAGTTAGGGACATTGACATCTTCTGTTAGGTAGGGATATTAAAAGGCTCTGTCAGGGGCATTGAAAGACTCGGGCAGGGGCATTGAAATTCTCTGTTTGGGGCATTGAAATTCTCTGTAAAGGACATTAAAAGGCTATGGCAGGGGCATTGAAAGACTCTGTCGGGGCAAAAAACTCTTACCTATATTTTTCAAAGTAAACAAGAGGAAGGTGGGATAATAATATATAAGTCCAGTAGGGCTGAAAGAGCAGGGCATGAACCCGGATAATGAAATGGTATTTTTTAAAGTGTAAAGTGTAAATCTTTTTACTCAAGTCGAACTCAAAAATCCTGCTTAAGTTCAGTTCTTTCTAAGAGCGTTTTCAAAATCAGCATGCTTTTCAGTCAGGTTGTGAGATCTGTATTTTTCAGAGTGTTTTTTTTGTTTTGTTTTGTTTTTTTACCAATAAACAACCATGAATTTGGAAAGCTGGTTAAAGCAAGGAACTCTTCAGAAAAAAATTATTACTACTTCTACCTGCTCGGCACTTAGAAACTGAGAAAGAAGATACAACTAAAAATCCAGAAAACGTGCTCAAAATAGTTGTATCTACAGTTCCTCAAATAGCAGAGACAAGTAACAAGTAAAAAAAAAAAGCACACAATGCTAGCCAATCTTCTTCTCAAACAAAATAAAATAAAATATGATGATAGCTACTTGTCATTTAGAGTCACAAGTGCCAGAAATGAATATTGTCCTGAAGCACAATGTGTACTTTGCAATAAAATATTGCCAATCAGTTCATTAGCACCTGCTAAATTACGTCGTCATTTTGAGCAAAACCATGCAGAGTACAAGGATAAAGACATTGACTTTAAGCGAAAGCGACATGCCGCGAGTAGGGGCATGTGTAATGATATAAGCAGTGCCAGGTCCCCCCTTATTGCACTAGCGACTGGGCAGCAATAGCTCCCTAGTCACTAGTAATTTTAAATATCAGCGAGCAGCCAGTGGTTGCTCGCTGTTTAGGCGACTTGCCCCTACTTGTGGCATGACACGAGGAGGGGCATGCAGGAGGATTTAACCTCCCTTTTAGGAATATGGGGGTCATAGTGACCCATTTGATACAGGTGTTAGAGCAATACTATGACGTCTGTGCCCTGACCATCCCCTTCATCCTTGTGAGTTCTTTTCCAGAAAACTGTCCAAAGCCGAGAAAAACTATGAGATACGGGATAGAGAACTACTAGCTGTTGTATTGGCTCTTAAGGAATGGCGTCATCTGCTAGAGGGCACAAAAGTTCCTGTTACAATCCTAACGGATCACAAGAACCTTTCCTATATGAGTGATGCCAAAAGATTAACAGCTAGACAATCTTGTTGGTCTTTGTTTTTCTCTCGATTCAATTTCATTCTCACATATAGGTCTGGTAGTAACAACACCAAAGCAGATGCTTTATCTTGACAATTCGAACCCAATGCTCCTACCATTGCTGACATAGAATCGATCATCCCCAAAGCTAAGATAATCGCTGTTACCCAACTTTACACAGAGTCAGTGCTCATGAAATCTCTGAAGGAAAAGCAAAATGAGGCACCTGGTCAGACTCCTCTGAATATATTGTATGTTCCTATATCCTTTCGTAAGGATGTCCTGGCATTATGCCATGATAATAAGACTGCTGGTCATTCTGGAATAAAAAAAGACCTGTTTGCTCCTTGCTTCACACTTTTGGTGGCCTTCTTTTAGACAGGTTATCAAAGAATGTGTATAGACATGCACTGTATGTACACAATCTAAGACGCCTCATGTACTACCTTGCGGTCTGTTGTTGCAGGCTTTAGCCATATCCACAAAACCCTGGTCCAGTATATCCATCGACTTCATATTCGGTTTTCTAAAATGGTCCATTTCGTATCCTTGCCTAAGCTACCTTCATCTTTGGAACTAGCGGATATATTTGTTAGGGAGGCTTTCCGCTTGCATGGCATACCAGAAACGATAGTAGAGCAGGTTCAGCACCTCCTTAGTAATAGGGCTACCTCACAAAAGAAGTTTGCTTATAGACATTGGCAGGCAGCTCCTTGATATCAAGTGGTTGATAGAGTATGGTTGAGCACTAAGAAAATCAGTTTGAAAGTCCCTTCCATGAAATTTGCACCTCATTACATTGGCCCCTATCAGATATTGAGGCGTGTGAACCTTGTTTCATATAGGTTACAATTACCTCCCTCGCTGCGTATACCGATCACCTTTCATGTTTCCCTGTTGAAGCCTCTTACGTGTAACAAGTATACTAGACCTCTTATAGTTCCTTCCCCTGCTGAAGTGGATGGTCAGGAGGAATACGAAGTATAGTCTATCGTGTAATCCCGGTTCTCTAGAGTTGTTCTTCAGTGCTTGATACATTGGAAGGGTTATGGTCCCGAAGAGAGGTCCTGGGTGAAGGCGAGTGATGTTCATGCATTCCGTCTGCTCCGGGCTATCCATTCTCGCTTCCCTAATCACCCTGGTATCTCCCGTCCAGTGGGCAGTTCTAAGAGGGGACCACCATTCCCACGCAGTATGATGCTCTTGACAGCCTTATGGATGCCGGCCGCTGTCCGCCAGCCTCTTTTTATGATGCGCCACACGTGTGCCGGCGTCATGAAGTCACTAGAGATCTAAGTAATAGAGCCCAGCACATCCACCTTTTGGAGGCATGGTTATGCTAACCATACCCCCAAACATATAAAATCCCAGTCTGCCCAAAGTACTGTGCCCTGTTGTGGTTCCTAGTGTCCCTATAGCGCATTATTTCATCCCTTTTGGTATTCATTGGTAACTATTGACCTGGCTTGCTCTCGACTACTCCGTTTTCTGTCTCCCGTGACTCTGCTTTGTTTATCATTAATGTGTATCTGTGGATCCCCTGACATGGCTTTTGTCTCTCGATTTAGTGTATTTCTGACTTCCCTTGACCGTGGCTCTTTCTGATTATCCTTGAATTATTATTATTATTCTTCATCCGGCCATTCTAAGGACCGGTTCAGGGACTTTCTATCTGTCTCCATTATTCCCCGGTGGGATTTCACTCTGCGTGTTGGGTTGTATGTTACAGCAGTGGGTGGAGACACTGAAGGGCAGTGGTGCACATAGGCATGCCCACACCCTAATCCCCGCACCACGCGCTATGTTCCTCCCTCCGTGGACCGGTGAGGGGCTAGAGTTCACTCACCACTGGAGCACCAGGGATGGCAGCAGCATGGTCCCCCCTCCCTAGAAAGGTAAGAAGGGAGGTAGGATATTAACTAAATGGCCCCCCCACCCCACACATTACACACAAACAGCACACACACACATACATCACCCTTACACACACAGCACCCACCCGCACACACTAACAGCTCCCTAACACACACAGGTCCCTCACACACACACACACACACTAACAGCACCCTCACACACACACACACACACACACACACTAACAGCTCCCTTACACACAGCACCCTTACATATACACACATATACACACACACACACTAACATCACCCACACACATACAACACCCTTACACACACATACATCACCCTTACACACACATACAGCACCCTTACACACACAGCGCCTACACACACACAGCACCCTCACACACAGCCCCCTTACACACACAGAGCGCCTTCACATACACACTCAGCACCTACACACACACAGCACCTACATACAGCACCCTCACACACACACACACACACACACAGCAGTATATGTGTGTGTGTATGTATATGTGTGTGTATATATATATATATACATATATATATATACATATATATATATACGTGGCGCGAGTGTTTGTGCTTTAGGGGCACACCCTTATACAAAAGGCTGCGCACGCCTATGGTGGTGCACACTGTACAGCACTGTCCCAGGAAGCACCTCTAGCAGCCATATGAGGTGTGGCCAGTGGAGTTATCCCTAGCTGTAATGTAAACATTGCATTTGTTTCTGAAAAGACAGTATTTACTGCAAAAAGCCTGAAGGGAATGATTATACTCGCCAGAACAAATTCTAAAAACTTTAGTTGTTCTGGTGACTATAGTGTCCCTTTAAGGTAAGACAATGTCCAAAATCTCCTGGCATCATTGATATAAACTCATTATGGTTCCTGTAAATAACCTCAGGCAATAATGTGAATTAGACATAGGCAGGCATTGGCAGGAAGGCATAAATACATTGTCTCAGAATTGTACTACAGACTGGTGACTTATTAAAACTTTACTTTCGTAGGTGCTCCCTCACTAGGAATTATGACCAAGACCAAAGTTGGTCCTACTGCAATGATCGGCATGATGTTACAGGTAATAATATACAAGTTTTTATTTACATTTTTTTAAACTGAATTATTGTATTCTTAACTTTTCACCGGTGTTCAGAACTCTATCTGTCATGGGAAAAAAATATTAAATATTATCTTATTTATATAATTGTAGAACCTTCCCTGTATATTCCCATATATTTAAAATAAGGCACACAGTCATGCCATTTCAAAAACCTTACATTGTCAGTAGAATGACTTGTCCTGCAGTGATCAGAGATCGGATTCGGTTTGGCCCACCATAAAATTTCACCTTTTTAAAGATTTGAGTTCATAAAGTTTCTGCATATGCAACCGTTTAGCAGCATTGTGCTAGGCAATGTAAGCTTAAAGGACCACTATAGTGCCAGGAAAACATACTCGTCCCCCCGCCGGGCTCTGGGGAGAGGAAGGGGTTAAACACTTACCTTTCTCCAGCGCCGGGCGGGGAGCTTTCCTCCTCCTCTCCTTCTTCCTAGCGACGTCATCGGCTGATTTTCACAGTGAGAAGCACGCAAGCGCCTCTAGCGGCTGTCAATGAGACAGCCACTAGAGGCTTTAGAGGCTGGATTAACCCTCAGTGTAAACATAGCAGTTTCTCCGAAACTGCTATGTTTATAAAAAAAAAAAAGGTTAATCCTATCTGGACCTGGCACCCAGACCACTTCATTAAGCTGAAGTGGTCTGGGTGCCTATAGTGGTCCTTTAAAAAGACCTGCATCACCTGACAATTATTTATTTAAACTAGCAAGGAAACACTTTTAAAATATTTACAAACCAAAATATTTGAAATATATGAAATAAATGTCAGATTGCATTGTTGGGGGAGCCTCTCGGCTATGGGAGTTTTTTTTAGTCCCCCCTTCCTCTTGCCCACCCATTATTTAGGTCCCCAGCCCCCTCTCTTTCAATGGATGAGATAATAAAATTTGATGAGCTCAGCCAATCAAATGCTTTCTCATAGGAAAGCATCGGAAGGCAAAAAAGGATGAACAGATAAGGTCCTTAATAAGTGTCCTCCAACTTAAAGAGCCTAACCCTAAATTGAAATCCAAATTTTTGTTCCAAAAAAGGAACCAAAGTTGTTGGAGTTTAGGATAGAACAAATTACATTAAATTAAGCAGTGAAATCCCAAAATAATAACTGTGCAAAATAAAAATAGGGTATATGTAATAAAACCAAAAGAAGATTATAGATAAGACAATACCATAACATAACATAAGGAGTTCCTTTATTATTGCTAGGATATATGTTACATGGTATGTCTACTAATTGTTGAAAAGAGGGGGAAGGCGAAGAAAACAAGATGGATAGAAACACTTCTTTAAAGGACATAAATGCCCTAAAATGTACTTCAATGCGAGTGTTAAATAGAACTTCTCGTAATAACGGACTTAGCGAGTGTGTATCTACTTGTAAATTGATACAATAATTTGTCTGTATATAGCCAAAATGTATCTTAAATGCAACAGATGAGCAGCAGAGTAAAAATGAAATCTGAATAAAGTGTGGATCTGTCGACCCTACAACAAACCGGTCCACCCCAGCCTCACCCTTAATAAACTCGGTATAATATGGGTCGAACTGGAAATAATCAATCCGCTCGTCTCAGGTAGCTAACGGTAAGCCCACTATAATTAGATAACATACACGCAGGCTATCAGATCCTAAATCCGTATGACGGTATCAAAGTCTATCACTAATTAAAAAGCATATGGATAAAAATCCATTAATATTACCATAAATGTAACTAGCGACAAGGCTTAAAGTAATAAACCCTAAATGGTATAACGACAGTCATGGGATGTCGAGACTATCATAGTAACAACAGACAGTCATCTAAACATATTAACACTATTCAAGGATAGAGAGTTGCTCGTTCGATATAACTCGCTATACTATATACAAGAATGCTGAAACTGTAGTTACTGACAGCTCGTCTTCCAAGCCCTAATGCAGCTATGGGATAACCTTCTCAAGGAACTGGTAAAATCTTACTTGTTTACTCGCTAGACTACCTGTAGCCCTAAATCACTTCTCAAGCCTCCCTCCCCCACTATAATCAAAACTAAATCAGAACACACAAAAACTCCATAATCCTAAAGCCCAAATAAACCAAAAATAAATATAAAAGAAGCGTTAAAGAACGCCCAACGCGCGTTTCGCCATCTGAAAGTTTGAAGTTGGCTTTGTCAGATCAAGTTATATTTCTTAATTCAAAATTGCCTCACAGAATTGTAAACTCCGATCCGGATCCTCCTCTAAAATCCATGGATTAAGCATGGCCAATACTGTCTCAGCACTAATCATTGCATTAGACGACCCAAAGATCTACGGGAATCTCAAAGCTCTCTCTTTCACTTTTTGGGGGCTTTGAGTAAATGCCAGTGTTACTAACATTCTATTTTCATCAGTAGTAACACTCACCGGTAAACCACTTTTTGGTGCATTGCAAATTTGTCACGGATTCATTATATTTAATTGGTGGAGGTGTTGCAAATTCTTCTTCCCATTTCTGCTGAATCTTTTGTTAAATTAAAAGCCATACTTAATTATCTAAAAAAAACAATATACGATAATAGAATAGAAACTGCATACCTGCTTATGCACCCCCTGTATAATAATACTACCTCTTTGACTGAACTGCTTTTTTAATTAATGCTTACAGAGCTTTTTTTTTTTACAAACCTGTTTACCTTTCCCATTATTCCTTCTTCTGTAGGGAGGATGAGGTTCCATTGTTTGACTTTATTTACGGACTCTTCTTAGGAATTTGCAATGATAGTTTGCTCAGTTTGTATGCTTAGAAAGAGCCTGCAGATATTGTTTACAAAACATGATGTAGGGATCATGGGGAATTTGCACTAAACGCCCTGGCTGCACCTTTTCACAGATAATTCTGATGGACAAATAAAATTCTATTAACCTAAACATATAAATAAAGAAATTTATATAAAACACATAAAGTCACATAGAATTTACATTTTTGGACTCAAATTCTATTTAAAGGGACACTCAACCACTAGAGATTATTATAGAGGATATGAGGCAAGAAAAGTTTAGATGCAATCCCTCTGGTTTTATCTAACTAAGGCTCTCCTGGCACCCACATTCTCCCCCTCCCCCTGCTGAGATAATTAGGAATTTCACTTCTGACTTAGCCCATGGCTCTCAGCATATAAATGATGCCCAAATTGGATCATTATAATGATGAAGTGAAAATCCTCGTTATTTCAGCAGCAGGGATGCCAGGCTTTGAGTGCTAGTGCGAGCCCTGTTTTTTATAAACTGCTGAAGATTGTCCCTTCAAAGGGTTACTGCAACCAAAAAACACAGTTTTTTAGAAAGAAAAACTTGCTGGCCCGCAGTCACGAAAGAAAAGAAAAAAGGATCAATAGATAAACAGATGCAAAAAATTCACAGAATTAACATTAGCCTACCCAGAACACCTCCGTCAGCAAAACACTGAAGTGGTCAAGATGCCTGGAATAACCCTTTAAAGTTTTGTTACTGAAATATGCAACCTGCATGCATGGATTTTTAGATTCAAGAGAACATGATGAAATGTAGTTATGCATGACTACTTATTGAGAAACCCTGAAAAAAAGGAATGTATGTACATTTTTATTCACTGTACTTTCCATTTTAAAATTTTTCCCAGGGCATTCATTTTTAAACATGACCCATTTCTAATTCTATTTTCCCAGACCATTGTGAGGACAATCCATGTGGGTCCAGAGGAGTTTGTGAGAACAAATTAAAGGGGTACCATTGCGTATGCAACGAGCCTTATACTGGTCGGAACTGCCAGACAGGTAAGAAGTGCCTCTATAGCTATATCCACTGGCTGGGCAGGGTTGTGTTCCAGAAGAAAAAAAACATGATTGAAAGGACCCTTATTGGATTAGCCTCTTCCTGTTCAGGGAGAATTCTGTCAGTTGCTGACAATACTCTGTGCAAATGCCACAGATATAGGAACTTTGTTCTCTTTGCATACCTTAATACAAATATATTTTTACTGTTGGTACGACACTCCCGGCATAAAGGGGGTTAAAAGCCGTTTAGTAGATCTTCCCTTCCAGAGACACAGGCACAGCTACTGCAGAACACCAAACTCCCGAACTGAATACAAGGGAATGCTCCAAACTCCCGAACTGCATACAAAGTAGCACTCCAAACTCCCGAACTGAAACTTCACGAATAGCTGCTAGCAGACGAACAGGAAAAGCACCCAAGCGGTTTACACTCCTGGCAATCAGTCTCTTACAGCATACAGTAAATCCCCCCAAAGACGAGACAGAGCTCCGTGTTGAAGGTCAAGCAGTGGTCTGGTTTATTGTGGGCTACCTGCCCGGTATTTATGTAGGTCTTCCACCTGGTGGACACTCCCCTAGGGGACCAGATGGAAGACTGAGACAAAATAGCAAGGTGACCAATCACGGATACACACAGTTAAGCCCTTCCACAGGTACATTACAATCCCTCCTCTCTATCCTGGAGATAATTGGGAAGTAATCCAATTATCTCCAAGGATAGAGGCAAAACTCCATTGAACACTAGAGATGTCGCGAACTGTCCACCGAACTGTTCGAGAACTGTCCGCCGGCGAACAATAGCGTGTTCGCGTTGGGCGAACATATCCGATTTCCGGTCCGCCCCCTATACGCCATCATTGAGTAAACTTTGACCCGGAACCTCACAGTCAGCAGACACTTCCTGGGAGGGAGGGTCTGCTGCTGATTGGGTGGAATGTGTCTGCTGGCTGTGAGGTTCCGGGTCAAAGTTTACTCAATGATGACGTATAGGGGGCGGACCGGAAATCAGATATGTTCGCCCAACGCGAACACGCTATTGTTCGCCGGCGGACAGTTCGCGAACAGTTCGGCGGACAGTTCGCGACATCTCTATTGAACACATGTTAACAAAAAGACATAAAAATATACAATGTTACCAACACTGTATAAAACATATCTATTCAACATATCCCCAGATAGCTTAGATCTGAGCGCACATTATTACCGAATGGCGCTCAAATCACATACATACAGTTCAATAGCCATGGTGCCAAAGTCTTTCCCATAGTCTTTCGTTACACGAATAGGCTCCATGGCGTGGCTATCTGGGGTCATGCTGTTCATACGGTTAAACTACCGACTGAACAGGCATCCAATTAAATTATTGAATGCAGAAGCAAGGAGGCTGGCGGCTCAGCGGTGTTCGTGAATATAACTGTCCATTATTAGTTCCATCATTTTGTAGTTGAACACTGCTGGCCGTTCGGCAGTTTAAGATGGCCGCTGCCATGTGTTCGCTATACGAACAAGGGCCACCCAGCGTTTGTCAATTAAGCTGCGGTTAACCGCAGCTTCTGGGAGGTAAATTGCCAACACACTCCCAATACAGGTGCTCCAGTCATTCGGTTGTTTGTTCGGTAGATTGAATCTACCGAACGCTGGGCAGAAAGGCATGAACAAACCTTTTCTGCAGGGGAAAAGAAGGCTTTTTAACATGGGGCCATAGTCCAAGGGCAACAGGCGAGCAACCAGGCTTCTCCAGTGCTTCGTGGCGAGGTTGGTTTCGCCACAACTGTATTATCTGTATACTTTATTAAAGATTTGAGGTCAGTTCTGCACGTTTCCATTTTATTTTAGTTCTGGCTCCTTGACTAATGTACTGTATAGATTTATGTAAAAATATAGAGATAACATAAAAATAGGATTTCTGCCAAAACTTGGGTCTTGCGGATAGAGAGCTAAAATGTTTCCATCATAACTACTGTCAATCGAAAGATATACTAAATGAATTAGCATTTTTATCACCATATACCCACATAGGATAGAATCGAAGGATATATCGCCAACGTTTTAGTTCAGTGTTGTGCAACCATCAAAAAATGTAAAATGAGCAGATGAAATACTGATGAAGATTCAATCATAAAGCCATCCAGTTACGAGACTCATGTTGTAAGCAACAGTACATACGAGATTAATCTTGTTAGGGTAGGCTGATGAATTATACAAACTTACTGATCAGATACTGACATGTTCAGAAGGGGTTTTTGTGAGGCTAGGCTATGAGAAATCAAGTAGAGAGATCTGACAACACATTTTATTTCCTTTCAGAAAAGTGCTACGATAAAAAACTCGGACAGTACTTTGAACAAAAGCAGACATGGCTACGATACTTCCCTCCCATTTTAGAGGAATGCACATGCCATAATAACAAGGCAGTAGTATGCAAAGTGACAACAGGGAAAGGTAAGAATAACTGAATTAACCATCAAACATATGTAGGAGATGTAGGCCTTGCACCATATTGGTGCACCAATATGGCACATACCCTACTTGGATAATATCATGCTTTGTTTTTACAGAGTGTTCTTCAAACCCATGTCTGCATGGAGGGCATTGTGTCCAAGTCAAGAAAAACACAGTGTGTGGTTGTATCAAGGGCTACAAAGGTCCTCACTGTGAAATAAGTAAGTACTTTAATACAATATGTTTTAAACAGGACTGTTGTTTGGAACAGTATGGCTGAATTTTAATTCCAAAATATAGATACAGCTGAACATGGAAATTTGTTTTTAATTTGTCTAATTTATCCAATACCTGGTGCAGTGCCATCTTAACAACATTATGGGCCCCCGGGCAAAGCAGTGCTCTGGGGCCCTGCCTACACAACCAGTCACAGGAATAAAAATGTAAATTATCTATAAAATTAAGATTATATTTATTGGTCCTCCAACAAATGCAATCCATTCATAAAATACAAACACATAGACTGCTGAATACATACACACGGGCTGCTGAATACACATACACACAGAATGCAGAATACACACAGAATGCAGAATACACACTGACTGCTGAATACATACACACAGACTGCTGAATACACACACAGACTTTGGAATACACACACACAATGCAAATTACACACAAGCTGCTGTATACACACAGGCTGCTGAATACATACATACAGACTGCTGCATACACACACGTAGACTGCTGAATGCACACACACGGAATGGTAAATAAACACACACAGACTGCTGAATACACACACCCTACAAGCCCTTCCAAATGTCTCATTCCCCCCCAAGCAAGCCCCTCCATGTGTGCCATTCCCCGCCCATAGTCCCCTGCCTGTGTCCACTCTCCCCCCCTCCTGTTCCTGCTTATGCGGTACCAGGTCCGGTCTGACAGGAAGTCCTCTCACTGCAGCAGTAGACGGGCCCTGAAGATATGTCAATGGCCCATGGTTGCCGGGCACCCTGGAGTGACAGGCTCTGTCGCCGCTGCGACCCCTGCAATCATGCAACCGTGGTAGTTATGCCACTGTGTGTATACATATACACTAGGAGTGTTAAGGGATCTGTGTGTCAGTGTGTTGTGTGTATTGGGAGCTGTTTGTGGTCTTGATGTGTATTTTGTATTTATAACAAGACTGTGTTGTATGAAGTATGAGGGTTACTGTCTGGGTCGGGCTGTATGTGTATGCCTGTGACTGTATGTGGGGGTGAGTGTTTTGGGTCAGTGTGGAAAGTGGGGTGAGTGTGTGACAGTCTCTGAGGGGTCATGGAGTCATTGTGTTACAGGTTGTCCGTCTGTGTGTCATGAGAGTGACAGTGTGACTGTGTGTGATGGATCAGTCGGGGTGTTTGTGTGATAGGATGACTGTCTGTGAGGTGAGTGTGATAGGGTCACTGTGTGTGTGGGGTGCATGTGGCAGATTGATTGTGTGTGAGAGATGAGTGTGGGGTGTGAGTTTAACATAGTGACAGTGTGTGGGGTCTTTGCGGGGGGTGGGTGTGACACAGTGCCTGGGGGTGAGTCTGACAGGATGACATTTTGTGAGGGACTGTGGGGAATGAGTGTGACAGGGTGACTGTATGTGTGTGGGTGAGAGTGACAGGGTGACTGTATGAGGACTCAGTGTTGGAGGTGAGTGTGACAGGGTGACTGTGTGTGGGGTGTGTGTTTCTAACAAGACATCCATGGATGTCTTGTTAGAAACTAATTGTACAGCGCTGCGGAATCTGTGTGCGCTTTATAAATAGCAATAATAAATAAATAAATACTGTAGACAGGACTAGGTATATCATTGGTACTGCTGCATAGCTTCAATTCTCCTTAATAAATGCAGGGAATGGCATCAATCAGTATTGTCCTGACTGTTTACATTTACCCACAATCACAATGTACTAGAGAGTTTAACATTGGGAACACAGTAGAGTGCTGCAGAAGGGTGATGCTAAACAAATTGCAGATCCTGTAGCAGGCACAGGTGGAAGTGCCTGTCAATGCACGTTCTCAGGCAACATGCAACCTAGGACATCCTCAGTGACTTTGCAAGGTGGTTCAATTGCGCATACATGACAGAGTTGCACATGTGCAATTCAGCTTTCTACGATTTCTAGGGATGGGACACTGATTGTTTAGATCTGTGTCCCCTTAGGAGGGGGCATGGAAAGTATAATCAAGAAGTAGCAGATAAATATACAAATATATATTATATTAACCTGCGTTTTCAGCTTGCCGAATGAGAAAATTATATCCAAGTGATGCATGCCCCTCTCTACAATTACTTTAGTTTCTTTTACTAACTACGTTTTTTTACTTAGACTTTTAAGACTTTACTCACCCTATACTGTTGCATTAATGAGAGTGTTAAGCAAATAAGATGTTTATTTCATGGTTATATTTTTATGCCTTTTATTTTGCAGGTCCAAGTCAGGTATGTTACCATGGAAATGGCACTGGCTACCGCGGAACTGCAAATATAACGGTGACAGGAAAGCAGTGCCTCTCTTGGGACTCTGAGCTGATACACCATGAAGTTATTCTGTACAGTGGCCACAAAGCAAAAGCTCATGGGATAGGACCTCATCCATACTGCAGGTACTTCAAGGATTTGCAAATCACATGCAAGAAAAATTATTCTCTGCATCACGTTAATAGTACTGAGTTGGGACTTTAATACTATCCAGAGATTCCTACGAGTTGAAATGTTACTCATGGTAATGAATGTATCAGTTGAATACTATGGTTTTGGCGAGAATTTTTTTTGATTGTTGTAGGGACTTGAGGGTGTTCTCCTGAAATCTACTCCACTTTGCGCCACTCTCATTCGATCTGTATTATTTGCTAATACAGTATTCAGTTTACAGATATTGAGGTACAATAAACACACTTTGGGAACTATTCAGTAAAACAGCTGCAATTGTATTAGACATTTCCTCTCAAAACAGGCCTCTAGCAGATCACCTGTTCTAATTGAAACATGTTCACTAGCTTGTCAGCCCTGCCAAAGGAAATACCTCAAATTCAGGAAAGTCTGTGGACTATACTAGTGTTTGTTTTCTGAGATTGTTGCCTAAGTTTGGGACTCGTGCTGTAAAGCAATGCAGTGCTGGTAGCAAATTACCATTTTCTGGCCCCCGACCCTCATTGGATATAATTTCAAAAGAGGAAAAATAATAACGTTTAAAAATTCTGGGGAGTGAGGACATGGAAAATCTAAAGTCCTGCCCATAAATATTATATACCTGAATAACCTGTTTTAATAGAAAAAAAAAATTAAGACTATTTTAAGAGATATCAATTGAATCAAATAAAGCAACCCCCTCAATTGCACATCACCGTAGAAGGCAGATATCCACCTCTGTTGCCCACAGCAGTGAATAAACAATACCTGGTTTCATACTTATTGACTTCAAAGTGCGTTTGTTATGGTGCCATAACTTGCTCATCTTGTAGGGATTAAACTGTTTCGAACGATTTAACCCCAAAGTCTGTGTTCCAGCATATGATCTTTCTGCCCCCGTCCTTCCATTTCATGATATGCTTCAGAAGGAAAGATTAAGGCTCCTGCAGGCAGGGGCACCGTTGATTGGCTGAGAGCAATCAGTGGCTCCTCATTCATAAAACAGCTTTAGATATTTACTTAATTTTTCTCAAGCTGTTTCTGTGAATGGGAAACCACGGATTCAGATTCAAAGCATTTCAGCAAACGGAAGGAAAGGGGGCAAAGAGATCTCGAATAAGCTGTGGGAGACACGTTATGGAGCCCAACCCGATCCTTTATTATTCTTCTGCCCATATTTGCAGACATAATTTAAGACTCAAGATTTTAAATTATAGTCACTATGACTATTAAATAGTGTCTAGTTTAACATACAGTATTTGAAGTTTAAACTGTTTATTAAGGAAACAGTTTGTTTTCAGGTGCATTGTTTTTAATAGATGATAAATTTATAGATGGTCACATTACCCACAAATCTATATTGCATGTTGCAGGAATCCTGATGGGGATACAGAGCCGTGGTGTTTTGTCTTGATCGAAGAAAGGCTGAGCTGGGAACATTGCTCGATCCCAAAATGCAATGTGGTTAAAGGTACGGGTGTGCATGTATATGGGTAATAAAATCAAAGCTCGCACAGTAATTAAGGAGTGATAGGAAATTCAAGGGCTGTAAATAGACACTAATCAGTAAGAGTCTTAGGGGTTTTTTTTTACTACTAAAATGAGAATTATTGTGATTTCAAAGTGAATTTCTAATCTAAGTCTAAAATTGGAAACTCGCTTTGAATCCCTGACAATTCTCTACCAAAGCCAAATTTAGATAATTGATAATTTAATGATAATTTTAAAGTCCATATGGCCATTGTCAGCACTAGCAGGCAGCAGGCAAATAACCCTGGGGTTAACCATATCTGTTGGCCAGCGCTTGCTAGCCTGCGACTACATTAAAGGGATACTACAGTCACCAAAACAACTGTAGCTTAAAGAAATCACTTTTGTTTCTGTTTATGCAGCCCTAGCCACAGCTCCCCTGCCTGTGACTGACACCGCCCGCATGAAAACAAAATGGTTTCATTTTCAATCAGATGTAACTTACTTTAAAAGTTTTTATCTCCTGCTCTGTGAATTGAATTTTAATTACACATAGGAGGCTCTTGGAGGTTTTAGCAAGCTATTAACAGAGCAGGAGATAACAATAATTCTAAATTAAACAGAATTTGCATTAAAGGAAGTTTAAACATTAGATCACACTTTACAGGACGTGTTTAGGAAAGCTTTGTAAGTCACGTGCAGGGAGATATGACTAGGGCTGCATTATCAAAGTCATTTAACTCCTAAATGGCAGAGAATTGAGCAGTGAAACTGCAGGGCCATAATCTGTATACCAAAACTGCTTCATTAAGCTAAAATGACGATAGTGTCCCTTTAAGAAAAGTTTAAAAAAAAGGCACATTGAGGAATATTTCTGCTAGATCCATGCATCGGATCAAGAGAGCAGCTGCTAAAATACCATTACATAGCAGCAAACAGATATTTGAAGATGCTGGTGCCTCTGGAGTCCCACGGACATCAAGGTGTAGAGTCCTCCAGAGTCTTGCAACTGTGCATAAACCTTCTGTTCGGCCACCACTAACCAATGCTCACAAGCAGAAATGGCTGCATTGGGCAGAAAAATACATGAAGACTAATTTTCAAACAGTCCTGTTCACTGATGAGTGCCGTGCAACCCTGGATGGTATAGATGGATGGAGTAGTGGATGGATGGTGGTCGGCCACCGTGTTCCAACAAGTCTGCAACGTCAGCAAGGGGCTGGTGGAGTCATGTTTTGGGCCGAAATCATGATAAGAGAGCTGCTTGGTCCCTTTAGGGTCCCCGAAGGTGTAAAGATGACCTCTACAAAGTATGTGGAGTTTCTGACTGACCACTTTCTTCCCTGGTACAGAAGGAAGAACTATGCTTTACGTAATAAAATCATCTTCATGCATGACAATGCACCATCTCATGCTGCAAAGAATACCTCTGCATCAATGGCTGCTATGGGGATAAAAGGAGAGAAGGTCATAGTGTGGCCTCCATCCTCCCCTGACTACAATCCTATTGAGAACCTTTGGAGCATCCTCAAGCAAAAGATCTATGAGGGTGGGAGGCAGTTTACATCCAAACAGCAGCTCTGGGAGGCTATTCTGACATCTTGCAAACAAATTCAAGCAGAAACTGTCCAAAAACCTATAAGTTCAATGGATGCAAGACTTGTGAAGCTGCTATCAAATAAGGGGTCCTATGTTAAAATGTAACGTGACCTGTTAAAATGTTTAAAAAGTTAAAATGTTGTTATAAGTGTAATTGAAATAGCTTTTGATTTCAGTAAATATGCTGCAAACACAACAAATCACAATTTTCAGTTCTTTACAACCCATAAAGTGTTTTGAAACTTATTGTGTGTAATAATTTGAAAGTTTTTTTATGTTTAAAAAAATACAGTTATTATTAGGAAGTTTGTTCAATAAAATTTGAATTGTACTCTTAATAGTTGATAACATGATAATTATGCTGACTGTTATTTACATCAATTATTTAGGTAAATGAGAAAAATATAATTTGCATAATAATTTGGAACAGGGTGTAAAAGGGGCTGCATCCTAATGGTCAGTGTGTGGAGTCTCTAATTATAATATTCATGATGCAGACCCAGTCTCCCTCCCAGTCCCCACCTATGGATGGCGGGTGGGGCTGCTAAATAATTGCACTGCAACAATAAAAGTATTGTTTCCTGTGACCAATTAATAGATTGTGAAAAAAAAAACAGTCAAATGCCCGGTGGGCCGCGATGGCCGTGGGGCCGAGGCCGGCAGGGGAGATCACAGGATCTCCCCGGCCGGCCCCTGCAGGGCCAGCGCTACCCGAGTGCCGGCCCTGCATAGTGCCTCCATGGGCCGGTGGGGAGATCACAGATCTCCCTCACCGTCCCAGAGGCAGGGAAATGCGGCCGCCGGCTGGGTGAAGGAGGGAGGGAGGAGAGAGGACCCGGCGGAGCTCTAACAAGCAGCTCCGCCCGGTCCTCTCGCGGGATTCTGAGCGTTGCCGCGGTTACAACGCTCAATCTCGCGAGAGTGAACTCTAACCTGCAGGTTAGAGTTCACTCTCACCACTGGACCACCAGGGAAGGCAGCATGGTCCCCCCTTCTCCCAGGCAGAACGGCTCTCCCCCCCTCCCAGGCTAAAGGTAAGAAGGGAGGGGGGGACATAACTTTTTTTTTTTTAATTATTATTATAATATTATAATTATTAATAAAATAAAAAATATATATTTCAAATAATTTCCCTAACAGCCCCCCCAGCCCCCCACACACACAGCCCCCCCAGACACACACAGCACCCAGACACACAGCACAGACACACACAGCTCCCCACAGACACACACAGCACCCCACAGACACACACACACAGCACCCCCAGACACACACACAGCCCCCACAGACACACACAGCAGCACCCCACAGACACACACACAGACACACCAGCCACAGACAGACAGCACCCTCACTCCCACACATATACAGCACATATATTATATAAAATAAACCCTCAGTGAGTTAACAGACAAATAAAATTAGAAACCCAGAATGTGACGGCAGATAAAAACACCCTCACACACAGCACCCCTCTTACACAAACACGCTGCGCACCTCACACATACAATACGTCCAAATATATTTTTTATATATATATATATATATACATATATACACACAAAAATCAAAACTGAGGATGCACTCACAGGACTTGGTTAAAGTGAAAAAAAGGGACTTTTAATTATTCCATGTGAAATGTACAGAAAAATCTATTTTCCATTCACATGGAATAATTAAAAGTCCCTTTTTTTCACTTTAACCAAGTCCTGTGAGTGCATCCTCAGTTTTGATTTTTGTATATTTCTGACGTTTGGGATATAGCACCCAGGCTATTAGTTCTTTCTTATTACTTAAAGGAGAGTGCCAAACATCCTGTTTTTTTTAGATTATATATATATATATATATATACACACACACACACACACTACAGCACCCCTCACACTGCACCACTACACACATTACGCTCCAGATACACGCTAGATCCCTTACCCTATATGCACTCTTAATCCTCTACACACACACACACAATCTTCTATACACACTCTGGGTCCTTTACACACCAGATCTCTTACACACACACACTGCACCACCTACACACACACTACATTCCTTGTAAGCAAACACATACAACATTATCTAAATACACCCTCTCTACACACAGTAGTGTGTGTGTATAAGTGACACACACTACATCACCTATACACACACACTACTGCCGTATGCACACACTCGCTACATCCCCTATAACACTATGCCCCTATACACGCACTCTCTACAGCCCCTAGCCACACATATTACACCACAAAATTGACCTATTTACACAATACCACACCACACTCTACACACAGGCAATCCCACAAGCATGCGCCAAACACATGCACCATACACTTTCCTGGCCCTTTTGTCCTCTGGTATCCCACTTGTGGAGACACCAGAGACAATTTAAAGCAAACACAGCGCAAGCATGTTATTACATTTGCTTGCGCTGCGCAGAACAAATACAGGGCCTTTTTCTAATGCTAGAGCTCTTCAGCGGGGCTCTGCGCATTGAACCAACATGCTCACTTTCTCTGGCCCCGCCCCCTTTTTGGGGGGCCGCTCTAATTGAAAAATGCCCGGGCCTAATTTTTTCCCCAGTCCGGCCCTGGCTGGCCCGCCTCTTGCCTCAGGACTATGGGCCCTGCAATATACCTTGCCCAATGCACTTTAAAAGGCTCTGTTCATGTGAGGTATGTACTTTTGTACTCCAGACAGAGAGACAGACCGTTAGCCCTAATTCTCTGGAACTGTTTTGGGCATGAGACTATGCGGGCGGTCGGTCAAAATTAAGACTTCCAGGAAATTCCTGAACCCCTGAACTGATCTGGGAGATTTTTGGATATGTTGGTCACCCAGATCAGGGCTATCAAGGGATGTAACATTTGTGTTTTTTTTTTTAATTTTTTAGGGTACTTTTGGGGTGTTTGGGAAAAAGTGTGTTTGGAGATAATTGGATTAAATTAGTACAGTTCCTGATCCAATTATCTCCCAGGCACAGAGGAGGGATTATCTGATTTTGTATGGGAGTGTCCTGGACCTGAGAGCCAATGTGATTGTGTATTTATTTCTACTGTGGTTTGCTCTCAGGTCCGGGGGGGGGGGGGAGTGCAGCAATACAAAAACACAAAAATAAAATACAGATTTTTGTGTAACAGAAATAATATATATAGAGAACTTAACTTGATCACAGCTTCCCCCGGCAGCCTTCCCACAGGGATACCCAGCCAAACAGAAATATTTACATTGGAAAGGGGGATGCAGCTGTTGTAACCTAAAAAGCAATTAGCAGCACATAGTGTGATAAAGTATTAAGCATGTATGAAAACATGCTACTGGAAGCACTCACAGAGTTAAATCAGTCAAAAGCACCTTCAAGGTGCCTCCCCTAGTCCCCTAGGGGGGTTGGTAAAGATCCACCTCTCACTCTTTAAAAAATGCAGGAACCGGAACAAAGCAGCAATCAAAAAATGTATAAATTATTTATTTTAAAAAAAGGCAACTGGTCCTACGCGTTTTGTTCTAAGAATAGAACTTCCTCAGGGACCTTTATAATATATAAAATAATTATGTACAATAACAATATGCAGTTAAAAACCTGCTTAATTCCTACCCTCCCAAAGTTTATATTATATAGCACTCCTCAGTCATTGGTGGTGTAGTGGGGGTGTTCCTAGTTTCCTCCATCTGTGTAATTACCGTCATGTTCGTCAGCTGTCTTCAGATGTTCATCCCGATCAGGATGTTTCACTTCCCGGGGGGGTGCCCCTTGCATGAGCACTGTCATAAAAGGCCAGTTGTGGCTACCATTAAAGTGAGATTCCTTTTACCCTTCATGAAGTCTAGTCTAGGCTCATGTTTGGGGGATTAGAGAGCTATATTCACACTCTGTGGATTGCTATAATCACCATACTCTCTTGGAACAATTGCTCTTAGCCTGCTTCGCTCTCTGGACTAGGAGAGGTCTACCCACTGGAAGCTAGATCCTGGTCTTGGGTCCAGGGTGGGTGGACAGTGAGACCCCAAACCAAGCTGCGGCGGTGTAAGGACATGAAGAGGTGCTGCCCTGTGACAGCACTGTCCCTTTAAATGTGGGAACCAACTTAGCGGAGAAATAATGCAAGGACATGATGAATGGAGCAATCAAGAAAATATGTATTAAAGAAAGCCAAAGGATATAATATACAAAAACAAAAAATGTACAATGCCACAAATATATACAGTTGCAAGAAAAAGTATGTGAACCCTTTGGAATGATATGTATTTCTGCACAAATTGGTCATAAAATGTGATCTGATCATCAATAATATCACAACAATAGACAGTCAATAAAAACATGGCAACATTTCAATAAAAACATGGCAACATTTCATTCTTTGTGTGTTATTAGTTTAAGCAGACTGTGATTGTCTATTGTTGTGACTAGATGATGATCAGATCACTTTGTATGACCAATTTGTGCAGAAATCCATATCATTCCAAAGGGTTCACATACTTTTTCTTGCAACTGTATATATACACAAGAAATAAATACAAATAGAGCCGGCAGAGTACACTTGATAGTCCTTAGGCAGGATCGTGCAGCCACCACAGAATATAAGTGGGGCACGGATCCTAAACCACCAAGCACTAAATAAAAAACACCAAGGAGCAAAGCCCAAAGCAGGTCACACGTAAATAAGGCAGCAAGGTCAGAATCACTGGAAATGAAGTATAGGCAGGAACACTGCAAGCGAACACTGGAACGGGAGGCACAGGACCAGGCAGAGACGAGAACACAGGACCATAAGGACATGGGAACAGGAACACAGGATCAGGATGATCAGGATACAAGACACAGGAAACAGCAGGTACAGGATGAAGGATAATGATCTGACAGAGAGTGAGGGGAGAAACCAGAATATATAGGTGCTAAACAAGGGCCAGGTGTAGTGCTTAACGAAAAGAAATGAGAAACAGTGCCAAACAGAAACAGTGGTGAGTGTGAGTGCTGCACGAGGGCATATTAACTAAGGAGTGTCGTGACAGGCGGTTTGTGAGGTTTACGGGGGTTATGGTGTTGCAGTGCAGTGCTTATGGTGCTTGCGAGTACTAGGAAGCAGCATTGATGGGGGTACCGGGTCGGGGTGCCAGGCGGTCCATCACAAGCTCTATGTGCTTAAGTTCTAAAATGGGCTAGGTATGGTGTGGCGATGTTTGTGGTAGCATGAACGTGTCCTTCTTAGATTGTCGCCGTCAGGTAAGGTTCCCCTTGGTAGGGGGTCTTTTTCTTTAAGTATAGTAGGGAGTACTCTTGGGCGTCATTTAGAAGTAGGTCATGTCTAGAAGTAGATTAGTCGGTTCATGGGACGCTTGTTAGGCTAGTGTGGTGGTGGTTTGCTTTGTGTAAGCTAGGGAGATTGGGGCAATGGCCTGTGTCTAGTGGTGCCGGAACTTGCGTACTGTGGTTACACCTGCTCTCACCCAAGCTGGTTTTTCCCCAGTCCCACAAGTGCACCGTAGTGGGTGGGTGTTATACATCATGCGTCACCTGAGCTTGCTTGCTTGCCAAGTCTAGTCTGAGTAGGCTTGGATAGTTTTGTCATTTGATAGGTATATCATCAAGGTAAATATTAGGCAAACTGAAGGTACACTAAACAGAAACATTAAAAGCAAAGAAAACATAAACAGTGGTATGCTTGTGTAGGTGGCGCAGCTTTCAGTTTAGGACCACCATCTGCTCCGCTGGTTAAGATTGGCGTGTTTGCCAAAGTCCCTGGTTCAGTGCGGGGTATTCCTGTGGTATTGTTGAGGAGTCCCAATGTGGTGAGCAAGGCTGGGCCCTATTCCGGGTCAGAAATCTTGTAGTCTTTGTCATCTTTGGTTACCCATAATGATCTAGGGGTTGTCCACCTGTACGTGAGTCCTGCAGTTTGTAGAGTGGCTTTTGCGCCCTACTAGTGTGGTCCTGCTTGTAGAGTGGCTTTTGCGCCCTACTAGTGTGGTCCTGCTTAAGTCCTGGAAAAAGGCAATTTGGCACATTTAAAATTCGTATGGTGTATTCTCTTTGATGGTGGCCATTAGGGCTCATCTTATAGCATTTGGCACCATAAGATGAGGTCTCGGGGGCAGCGTGCAGAGCTTGTGTGGATTTGGCGATCCGGTATACGCCATCAAAGGTGAAGTGTTTGGCTTGTCTTGCTGGTAAGAGTGAGGTTACTAGACGCCTTATTAAATTTGGCAGTTCATCCGATTCCAAAACCCCCCTGATTTTTACATACTTCCTCCTGCCTCTGTCATCCAACAGGTTGACTTGCCTGTTGAGGGTGGTGTGTGAGGCTTGCATGTTTTACTGTGTCTCCCAGTTCTTTCAGGTCTTGTCGCAGGATTTCCACCTCCTCCTATGTGGCCTGGATACGAGCTGTGGCTGTTTGCACTTCAGCTGCGAGACCCCTTTTGTTGGAGATTGCGTTGGAGTCCGGCCAGCATGTCTTGGATATCCTGTTTGGTCCTTAGGGCAACCACCCCAATGTTCTGAGGGGTCTCCCTTTCTGTTGTGGCTGCAACCATGCTCTGTGGAGAGTCTTCCTCCTCTGACCATGTGAGTGATGCCTCCAGGGTGGTCTGGGTCTGTGCTGGTGGTGGAGTTTGCAGCATGAGGGCTATGTTCCGTTGTGGCGTGGGAGTGTGTGGGATCGGTTTTTGAGACCTCCATCCCATCTCCTCAGGGGTGTAGATGTATGGTGCAGTGAGCTGTGTGCCAGATTCAAACCACGTTGCTAATTCTCCAGCTAGGTCTCTTGGCCAGGCACCTGTGTGGTAGGCCACAGTGCCTCTCTTGCGGCATGAAAAAAAGGCATCTGCAGGTTCGGCAGAATGCCCGAAGATGGTGCATGCACCTTGTATCAGCAGGCGGGTCGTGGATTAGCTGATATCAGCCGGATTCTGCACTAGGCTGTTGGAGCCTTTGGAAATGGCGACCGCTACAGTGTGCAGCCAGGCTCAGCCCTTTGTATAGGGGCTTTATTAAATTAATACTTATTAAAGAACCATAAAATACATTTTCATTCCCTCTTCTCTGTTGTTACATTGAGGGGAGGGGGCATGCTGATCTTTGGTGGTCCAGTGTGCTTGGAATCACACACACACAGTTACAGACACACAGACAGACACACACACACACACATGGTTACAGGCAGACAGTTGTACATATTACATAATACAAGGAGGGAGCTGCAAGTGACAAATGAATAGCTGAAATACCTGGCCGACTTTCAAACAATAGCGAATGCCCAAGTATTTAACTGGGCAAGCGCAGGAATTTCACAACGCTATTTAGTGTGGGCTGATGATGTGTCCCACAGGGCCTTCATCTGCCCACACAAAGAAGGCGGCACCCAGGACCTAGGTCCGGGTATGAAATAAAGATGAAAAAGAAGGTAAAATGGGGGGCCTAAGGGCATTTAGGAGTTGCAAGGGGGACAGCTAGAAGGGTTAAAAAAAACAAAAAAACAGATGCAGCCATAACAGTGCCATTTTAAAAAGATTTACAAGAAGACTTATAATAGTAAGTATATATTTTTTTTATTTTACAGGTATTAGTTTAATGTCCCTCAATATTATTATGTTGAGGTAGGATTGGTAGGATTATTTTATATTAATCAGGTGGTGAAGGCTAGGGGCTTGGGGAACCCTAGCTACCAATGTGTGTTGGCTGAAGGGGGACTATAGCTCCTCCCCCATTGTGTTGCAAAGTTATCAATGGGTGGGGACATTAGGTCTTCCCCAAGTCATATTATACTAGTTCCCATCTGGGGGGGAAGAGCCATTTTGCAAATGCAAAATCCAGCCGTTTTTAAATAGCGTGGACAATGTCCAGATTTTTCAGTCCAAATGGCCCTGCACAGCACCAGATGGTTTTGCCCCGTTAGGGTCAGGGCTGTTCGAACTCCCAGGTATAACCCTGTGGATGAACTGCCATGGTGTTTTATAACATTTGCAAATGTAGTTCACTAATAAATTGAAAACAAGATTGTGGTCCCCAAACTTGGTCTGTCTTCAGCCATTGGCTCCGTATTGATAAATCCTCTAATGTTTCACTTATATCTGCTTGTTCACAAACACCAGAACTGGTGGAGGATTGATAAGGGAATTGAATATTTGAGGTCATAGTATCAGAGCTGGAAGCATTGTTAAAGATTTTTTTTCTGTTCCACTATTTTCCCTCAAACGTTTCATTCCTTTAACAATTCTCTGCAATTGAAGTTTAAGTAAAAAACAAACAAAAATGTTACTTTTATATTTTAATACCGTAGTCAAATTGTATTACTGTAGTCTCATGTGAAAATAACACAATCAGAATTCCATAAATTGAAAATGTCTTTTTTTTCCTCAGTCAGCACTTTACCCCCATTGATTAGTATAACAAAGCATTCAACTCAGGGATCCATCTCTTCACAGAACAAAGGTGATGTCTCAAAAAATATAACTGTTGAACATGTTGAAAGCTCACTGGCATATACTCAAACATTTGTCTGTGCAAGTAGTGATGAAAAGCTGTGAAGAATTAGGAATTGCATGATTTATACCATTAACAACTGCAAACTCTTACAGAAGACTTAATAACCAGTTTCTTACCCCCTCCATCATTAGCCACCAAGTTAATACATATTTAAGGGATTCTCCACTGCCCAAATTGAAAATAAATAAAATTCACTGTTTAGTATATATACCCAACATGAAAATCTGCCTTAATTGTGTATTTTTTCTTTGGGAATATATCTAAAGACAGCTTGCAAAACCTGCAGATTTCTTGTTTGCTGCCTTTGCAAGCCCTCCCCATCTAGCCCCACCCAGACTTTCTGTGGCTGTCCAATCACAGACTTTCTAATGCAGCTCAATGAGAATTCTTTGTAAGGCAGGTGCTCTTAGCAATTGCTGCCTCTGGAGTTTAGCTAATTGAGCTAATCAAACCAGGAAGTAAAAGGTCCTGTTGTCTGCTTGAAAGTCAGGGGGATGTTAACAGGTTAATTTATATTTCTATTGAAATTTGCACTCTTTAAAATGTCCCTTTAAAATGTTTTGCATACAAGTTTTTTGTTTAAATGCTACATTCAAACTGTCAAAGGAACACTATAGCCTTAGGAATATGAACCTGTATCCCTAATGTTATAGTGCCCCTGAGCTTAACTAAACATAGGCAAATCAGTTTTCCACAAAAATATTTAAAAAAAAAATTTTTTTACTGCTGCTCACCTCTCCTCCTCCTGTCACTTCCACGTATCCATATAAATTAAGTTGTTATGGTGCCAGGTGGTTAAACTGTTGGAGAACGGTTTAACCTACAATTTGCCTCCAGCACTGGTCTTTACTTCCCCTCTGGCGTCTTCCAGCTTCTGAATTTTCACAGAATTTTCAAGCTGACTGGAGGCAACTTAGGTGGTAAACTGTTCTTGAACTGTTTAACCCCTTGTGGTAAGAGTGCCTCCAGATGCCTCCTGGCACCATAACAACTTCATTTAGATGAAGTTGTTTTGGTGCCGGGAGTGGCCTTTTAACATAGTATTGTGTGAAAAAAGTATTTCTTTTTTTAAAAATGTGCATGTTGTCTCCTCAGCCAGCACTGCACCTCCAAAGATTAGTACAACAGAGTCCTCAACTCAGGGATCCATCTCCTCCGGCAGCAAAAGTGATCTTCCAAAAGGTGGTATAACCATAAAACCTGTTCAAATTAGAGGGATGCCAGTGAGCTGTGAAAAGACGTTTCAGAAAACCCCATCTGTATCCTCACGTATTGTAGGGGGGCTGGTAGCTCTCCCAGCATCGCATCCTTACATGGCGGCACTGTATATCAGCAGTCACTTCTGTGGTGGGGCACTTATCTCTTCCTGCTGGATTCTCACGGCAGCTCATTGCTTGGAACGCAGGTGAGATTTCTTCTTTTTACACCTAATTCTGGGGTTCAAGTGAGAGCATTTTGCTGTATATCCCAAACACAAAAATTTGTATTTCTTGAATTCTTGAGATTCATATACTGTGCTACAAGGTGCATCCTAAGAATCCTTGCATCTCAACTGACTCTGTCAGTTTGCTTAAAGGGAAGGGTGTGTGTAAAACCTGGATCCATGCATATAACCAGTGGTGTATTCTGGTTTTGTGCTGCCCTAGGCATGACAAAACTCGGGCACCCCCCCACTCCCCCTCCAAATTTCTCTTCCTGACACAGGCCCTCACTAATATATGCAAAGATATACACTCACTTACAGATACACAGTCATTGTCACACACACTGTTTAACCAACACACACTTTCACTGAAACATACACATTCAAAGACATACACACTCACTCATTCACACACACACACACACACATTCACCGACAGACACACATATACACTAATTGACAGACACGCATTCAACGACAGACACATACCCATTCACTGCCAAGACACACATGCACACTCACTAACAGAAATACATACACATTCACTCAGTGTCAGACACACTGGGACACATTCACTGACAGATACACACTGACAAACACATACAGGGAGTGCAGAATTATTAGGCAAGTTGTATTTTTGAGGATTAATTTTATTATTGAACAACAACCATGTTCTCAATGAACCCAAAAAACTCATTAATATCAAAGCTGAATATTTTTTGGAAGTAGTTTTTAGTTTGTTTTTAGTTATAGCTATGTTAGGGGATATCTGTGTGTGCAGGTGACTATTACTGTGCATAATTATTAGGCAACAACAAAAACAAATATATACCCATTTCAATTATTTATTATTACCGAGTGAAACCAATATAACATCTCAACATTCTGAATATACATTTCTGACATTCAAAAACAAAACAAAAACAAATCCAATATAATACCTTTCTGCAGGACACTCAAAGCCACTGCCATCCATGGATTCTGTCAGTGTTTTGATCTGTTCACCATCAACATTCGCGCGTGCGCTTAGCAACCACAACCTCCCAGACACTGTTCAGAGGTGTACTGTTTTCCCTCCTTGTAAATCTCACATTTGATGATGGACCACAGGTTCTCAGTGGGGTTCAGATCAGGTGAACAAGGAGGCCATGTCATTAGATTTTCTTCTTTTATACCCTTTCTTGCCAGCCACGCTGTGGAGTACTTGGACGTGTGATGGAGCATTGTCCTGCATGAAAATCATGTTTTTCTTGAAGGATGCAGACTTCTTCCTGTACTACTGCTTGAAGAAGGTGTCTTCCAGGAACTGGCAGTAGGACTGGGAGTTGAGCTTGACTCCATCCTCAACCCGAAAAGGCCCCACAAGCTCATATTTGATGATACCAGCCCAAACCAGTACTCCACCTCCACCTTGCTGGCGTCTGAGTCGGACTGGAGCTCTCTGCCCTTTACCAATCCAGCCACGGGCCCATCCATCTGGCCTATCAAGACTCACTCTCATTTCATCAGTCCATAAAACCTTAGAAAAATCAGTCTTGAGATATTTCTTGGCCCAGTCTTGACGTTTCAGCTTGTGTGTCTTGTTCAGTGGTGGTCGTCTTTCGGCCTTTCTTACCTTGGCCATGTCTCTGAGTATTGCACACCTTGTGCTTTTGGGCACTCCAGTGATGTTGCAGCTCTGAAATATGGCCAAACTGGTGGCAAGTGGCATCGTGGCAGCTGCACGCTTGACTTTTCTCAGTTCATGGGCAGTTATTTTCGCCTTGGTTTTTCCACACGCTTCTTGCGACCCTGTTGACTATTTGCAGATGAAGCGGCAGTTGTTCGATGATCCGCGCTTCAGAAGCTTTGCAATTTAAGAGTGCTGCATCCCTCTTCCAAAGATATCTCACTATTTTGACTCTGGAGCCTGTCAAGTCCTTCTTTTGACCCATTTTGAAGGAAGTTGCCCTAATAATTATGCACACCTGATATAGGGTGTTGATGTCATTAGACTACACCCCTTCTCATTACAGAGATGCACATCACCTAATATGCTTAATTGGTAGTAGGCTTTCGAGCCTATACAGCTTGGAGTAAGACAACATGCATAAAGAGGATGATGTGGTCAAAATACTCATTTGCCTAATAATTCTGCACTCCCTGTATACAACACTAACTGACAGACTAATATGCAGTGTCAGACACAAACATTGACTGACAGACACACATACACTAGCTGACAGATACATACTGACAGACATACACATTCACTGACAGACACACACTCTCAGTGACAGACACACATACACACACTGACAGACACGGATACACACACTGACACACACTGAAAGACAAATTCATACACTGACAGACACGCATACACATACTTACAGACACACACTCTTCGTGACAGATACACACACTGACAGACACACATACACACTCACTGACAAACACGTATACACTCTCAGTGACAGACACACTCACTAATAAACACACTCTCACTAACAGACATGCCCTACACTCACTAACACACACACACACACTAACACTCACTAACGGATACACTAACACTCACTGACACACACACACTCACACACACACAGTAACAGACACACACACACTAACTGACACATACTAACATTCACTAACAGACACACACTAACACACTCACTAACAGACACACATACACACAAACTAACACACTTACTAACAGACACACACACTAACACACTCACTAACAAGCACACAAACACACAATTTAAAATAAAAAAAACAATCAAGTTCAATACACCCAGCCTCTCTACCTTTAGGAGTGGATTCTTCCTTGAGGTCCAGTGGGGCTGGCTGCAGCTCGGCAGGCAGGCAGACAGGCGCAGAGTGGAGGTGGGCAGCGAGGGAATGCTGATCTCCCTGCTCAGCTCCCACGTGTGTCTCTCAGTGATGCTGGAGCTGCAGTGACGTCATATTCCGGCTCTGGCATCATTGTGGTGCGCGCGAGTGAGCTGAACTGGGGGAGCTCAGGGGAGAGTGCTCCCTCGCCGCCCACCTCCCATATAAGGTAGATGCCAGAACAAGAGGCTGGCAAGGCATTTGCCAGGGCGTTTGGGGGGCGGCTTTTTTTCCAGCCCTCCTAAAAGTGCCGCCCAAGGCAAATGCATTGTCAGCCTCACACTAGATACAGCGCTGCATATAACTCCACTGCAAAATGGGTATTTCATAACAGAATTTTTATAAAATACTCATACTGACTGGTTTGGAATTTCACTGAAATTCCAACCCAGTCAAGAGATATACTGAGATGAAGTAGGGACTACTTTGTCTTAGTATTTTTCCTTGGTGGTCTGACACTTCTGAGCGTGCTACCGAGGTCTAGAAGTGTCAATCTCCAAGCCATCACCAGTGTTGGCAGCAGATATATTAGCTGTGTCTATGGAGGATTCCGCGGTCTTCCGGGTTTCTCCAGAGACTTCAATGCTGTACTTTTACGCTGAAGAAAATGGTGGCACACATGAGGGACAAGTTTAGGTAAGTAAATCTGACCTTTCCCTGCCCCCCTGACCACCAGCAACGATGTCAAAGTCAGGGGTCTTTGCAAATTTTGCAACTTCCCCAGATGGTGACAGTGCCACTTTAAATTGACATATGATATTTTTCTTGGAATTTATTTTTTATTTTTATTAAAAAATGCTGTAATCCAGGAGGAACCCTTTATACAATGAAAAAAATGAAAGGATCCAGTACGATCCAACTGTATTGAACTAAAAATGCATGGATCAGCTTTTACCCTCACCCTAAGGGAAGTTCTAATTTAGGTAAACGAGTGGCAAACCACTGGTTGAAGGGTTTCCATGAATTGACCGTAGGTAGATGAATATTGTAGCTCACATGGACAGGGCTCTGAGATAGGCAGCATGTTAACAGGATGTGCAATTTGTTCTTTGCAGACCAGATTTAAAAGAGATCTCCGTGGTGTTAGGGCAAAACTTATTCAACACAACAGACCATCGCACAAGAAGATTCACAGTGCAGAAATATATCATACATGAGCAGTATGACGAAGAAACCTTTCAGAATGATATTGGTAAAATATTATATTGTAGAGCTTATTTTTTGTACTGAGCAAGAATAGTAGCTCCAAATATATAGTGACTGGTCTGGAACCATTACATTGGTGCATGGATCTAATCGTAGACAAGGGGACTCAAATATCTATTCACTGAAATGCAAAGGTCTGTAGTTTCACTTTAATATTGGAACATAGTGAATACAATCTATTGTTATTTGTTTTACTGTTCTAGTAGATCAAGCATGTCAAACTCAAAAGCTAGCAAGGGCCAAATAAACAAGGTTTAAGTTTATGTGGGTTGCAAAACCCCCCAAAAACTTTCAACCCAGAGAAACACAAACTAAAATTACTTGTATCATTCTCATGCAAACAATTTGTAATCCTGGGTACATATAAATAATTTACTCGAAAGCTTCACCTCAAGTTACTTACTGTTTCAGTAGTAATGCCACGGTCTGGAGTGTCCGCTCCGCTCGCTTCCTTAGTCCCTCTGCAATCTCCAGACAGAGTAAGGTGTGGCTGCACATTCCGCTTCTACCCCCCTTTCATCCATGTCTATGTTCCGCTCCATTTCATTTCTCTCTCCATCCATGTCTCTTTACCCTCCGGTCCATATTTCTCTCCCATCCATGTCTCCCTCTCGTCTCTTCCATCCATGTCTCTCACTCCACTCTTCCATCCATGTCTCCCTCTTCCATTCATGTCTCCTCCCCTCTACCATCCCTGTCTCCCTCTTCCACTCCCTCTCATATCTCTCTCCCCCACATCTCCCTCCCCCTTCCATTCAGGTCCCCCACCCCATGTCTCCCTCCCTACCAATTCCATCCATGTCTCTCTCCCCCATCCATATCTCCCTCCCCCTTTCATTCAAATTTCCCTCCCCCTTCCATTCATATCTCCCTCTCCCCCTTCTATTCATATCTCCTTCCCCCACCTTTCATTCATATCTCCCTCCCTCCCATTCATATCTCTGTCTCTCCCTTCCATCCAAATCTCCCTCCACCCATTCCATCCATTTTTCCCTCCCCCCTTCCATTCATATCTCCTTCTCCACCTTCCATCCATATCTCCCTCCCCCCTTCCTGACATATCTCCCTCTCCCCCTTGCATTCATTTCTCTACGTGACTACATAGTCACCTAACACCCGGTGCTCCTACGGAGAGCGGGAGGGGGAGATGGTCTTCCTCCCAGTCTACTGTGCGTGCGACTCCATAAGGGGGCGCAGGGAGTGCAGGCCGAGGTGGACGCTAAAAACACTTGTCGGTCAGAAGAGTGATTTGTGTGCCCCCTCAACTGGCGTCCCTGATTGGCTGGGCCGCAAGGAAGTTCCTTGCTCGCTTCATGTGGCCCATGGGCCGCACCTTTGACATGCTTGTAGTCCATCATCCCATACCCCGTCCTGTTTCTAGTAAATTCTCAAACCACTTGATGACCACCAGCTCCCTTCCAATTCCTTGCTCAATTTTTATAAAATAAGGGCTATGTAGCCTTTTATTCAGGGTTACAAACCACTATATTTACTGATCACTGGGGGAATCATTCAAATAAACTGTAGTTATTGATTGGTGCTAGTGTAGTAGAAAATTGTGTATCAGTGGTTGGGCAGCCAGAAATGCACAAGATAAAAAAGATAAAACGCTTAGGAAGTCAGGGACACAGCACTGGAAACATTTTTATTATGTCTGAATGGTTTCCTTTGCAAAGGAGAGTAATAAATATCCGTGAAGCATTTCTGACTGATTACTTGAAAAGAACGTGTCATTTTTATGCAAAGTTCCAAATGTAGAGAGAGTCCAGACACACAGATTCCATCACACCCCAGATTCTTTATTGGAATAAGCACAACATGACAATGTTTTGGCCAATAGAAATGGCATGTCTGAAGTCATGAGTTGAGAAAGGCCGTCTCCATCAGCACACACTTTGTCATGTTGCACTTATTTCAATAAAACAATCTGCAGTATGATGGAATCTCTTTCTACATATGAAGGTATTCATGGTGTTTCTCCATGCCCTGAGTTTGGATCTCCAGGATATTATTTGGATTAACTACCTGATAGGGTGTGTGCAGACAGTATTGGAAACATATCGTCATGCAAAGTAACTGAGCTGTTTTCTGCTCTCTTAGCGCTTATGCAGCTGAAGTCTGAATCTGATGTTTGTGCTGAATTCACACAGTTTATACAACCTGTGTGTCTACCACAAAACCCAAAGAAGAATGAACCAAACAAGCAGTGTTCAGTGATTGGATGGGGCCACCAGTATTATGGTAAGGAAAAATCAGACTCAACAATAACAGAGTTAAGATAAAAAGGCAGTGCTAACACAATTACATTTATTAACGAACCTCTGGATATGTTCTAATTTCACCTGTACTTCTATATACTTAGGAGCTGAAGGCTATGCATTGTTTCTACAGGAAGCACACATCCCAATCATTCCTGAAACACAATGTAAATCTCCAATCGTCCATGGTAATAAGATGTTGCCAGGAATGTTGTGTGCTGGCGTCATGGAGGGAGGAGTAGATGCATGCCAGGTGAGTTTGTCTCCTAAAGAAACGTACATAATGGGAGCTAGTAGATTTCCTTTTAGGGCCCCAGTACCAAGAAAGAGGTCTTTCACTTCATCCTGCACTTTATATATAATCAAAATCTTACATTTGTTTTGTCTCTTTGACTGTCTGTGTCTCTCGCTGGCTCTGACGATTTACCATCTGTCAAATAAAGGGTAAGATTCCTTTGTTGACTTATATACTGTAAATATACATATGTGTACAAAGAATAATTCTACAGTTTTGACACAGCATATGTTTTACATAACATATAATATATAGTACATATAATATTTATTCTTATAAGGGCTTAAAATATTAGAGGAGCTTTAGTTATATGAACCTACATCTCCATCAGACATGCAGACATAAATGCTGTTTAGAAATCCAATGTCTTTACCGAAGTAAACTTACTTTGACACCCTTCAAATCATGTTGGTATGTAACACATCTTCACCAACTTTTATTTACCCGTTACCCTCACCACTAACATTTGATTATTACCCATGTCCACAAATATATATTTTATAACAACACCATGAGCTATGTACCATGAAGAAAAAAGAGAAAGGTATCTATATTTAAAGAACCTTTCTAAAACCAGGGGGTTTAGCAATATTCTCATGCATGTGTTTTAGTTCAACTTAAAAAAAATAAATTAAAAAAAATTATAACCTTGATTGTTCACTTACAGGAAATGAAATATAAAGGAAATTATTTTAGCAGAACTGATAATAGGGAGACTAGCATTTCAAATAACATACTAATTTATGGTCAGGAAACCCTTTCATTTTCTCTATAAGTTATTGTGCTTGGGGCCTAAATCAGTCACCCAGAATGTTGACATCCATTCAATGAAAAAAAGAAAAAAGCCTGTCAAGAACCCTCTTCCTACCCAGATACTGGTTCTATTTTTTCTGAGTACAGGAATTTAATTTAGTTTGGTTGGAATACAAGTTACAATGGATAAAAAAAAACCAAAAAAAAAAACATTTTCTTGCTAACCTCAACAACATGAAGGAATGAAAACTAATATTAAACAGTTATTCTTTGTACTTAGTTTTAGTTGGACAGGGCCATGTTTCAGCTATATAAGTTGATATTGTTTCTGGATGTGATATGATGCCTACATGACAAAAATATAGGCAAAAAACAAAAACAGAAGAACAGCCTCCAGAACATCCAACTTCAACAAGTCTAATCTCGAGACTTTGGGTCAAGGCAGGCAAGTGGTCTTAACCATGCTGCCGTTGGTGTCAAGGACAACATCAAGGACAACATCCCTATCTATATAGGGGACCATTCCACTATGCATGTTCAACAGCCATTCTAGATTACCTTACACCAACCGCTGCTTTATTGTTTGCATACAGGCTTAAATGCATAGAAATTAACTCCGTTCTTCTGACTCTGGCCTCAATTCCATTCCATCTGATAATGTTGATAAGCTCCTGATAAGCCTTTGTTAAAGGAGCAGGTAAATACCCGTTTGGAATAACATTGATTTAAAAAAAAAAAAATTGCATGTCCACCCCGCGTATGGAAGGGGTCTGGGCAAGACATTAAGTCCCCCCCGAATTATTAAAATTATAGCCCCCAACAGGGAACAAGGCATAACGTGATCTCCCCCTCCATTCTTTAGTTTACCGCTCCAATCCTATGGGGAACAGGAGGGAATTTTGGCAGGTCCTCCCTGTATGTTAACCCCTGAATGACCCGACCAGTTTTCAATTTTCTTACCGTGAAGGACCAGGGCTCTTTTTACATTTCTGTGGTGTTTGTGTTTAGCTGTAATTTTCCTCTTACTCATTTACTGTACCCACACACATTATATACAGTTTTCCTCGCCATTAAATAGTCTTTCAAAAGATAACATTATTTTCATTATATCATATAATTTACTATAAAATGTTTTTAAAAATTTGCAGAAATTTTTTTGAAAAACACACCTTTTCTAACTTTAACCCCCACAATCTGTTGCGCATCTACAACCGCCAAAAAACACCCATGATAAATAGTTTAAAAATGTTGTCCTGAGTTTAGAAATACCCAATGTTAACATGTTCTTAGCTTTTTCTTGCAAGTTACAGGGCTATAAGTACAAGTAGCACTTTGCTATTTCCAAACTATTTTTTTTTTTTTAAACTGCAATTTACATTGTAACACTGATATCTGTCAGGAATCCCTGAATAACCCTTCACATGTATATATTTTTAAAAGACGACAACCTAAGGTATTAAACTTATTTTGTAGACATGTGCAATTCGTTTCGGTCCAAATTTAAATTCGGACGGATTTCGGCAATTCGGACATTCGGATGCTTTGGATTTCTGAAAAGTGGCAAAACAGGCGAGAGAGGGAAAATTAAGGGAATGATGACAGGAATCTAACGCTACCCCTAACCCTACTCCTAAACCTAGGAATTCCTGCAGTCCCGAATTCCCGAAGTGCCAAATTTCGGAACTGCCGAACCGAACCAAATTTTTTACCCATGCACATCCCTAGTATTGACTATTTTCATGCAAACATTTTACCACCAATCTATGCCAACTTTAAAATAATAATAATAATTGGTGATTTTTTTTGACACAGATAGCAATTTAAAGGGACACTATAGTCACCAGAACAACTACAGCTTATTGAATTTGTTCTGGTGAGTAGAATCATTACCTTCAGGCTTTTTGCTGTAAACATTGTCTTTTCAGAGAAAATGCAGTGTTTACATTACAGCCTAGTGATAACTTCACTGGCCACTCCTCAGATGGCTGTTAGAGATCCTTCCTGGGTCATGGCTGCCTAAAATGCATCCAAACATTCAGTGTCTCCTCCCTCTGCATGCAGACACTGAACTTTCCTCATAGAGATTCATTGATTCAATTCATCTCTATGAGGAGATGCTGATTGGCCAGGGCTGTGTTTGAATCATGCTGGCTCTGCCCCTGATCTGCCTCTTTGTCAGTCTCAGCCAATCCTATGGGGAAGCATTGTGATTGGATCAGGCTCCCACTTCTGATGATGTCAGCACACTGCTTTTTTTCTGAGTCTAACAGCATGCAGAGTTACAGCTTCAAGCTTGAATACAGTAAGATTTTTACTATATTTATGGATTCATGAGAGGCACAGGGAGGTTAGATGGTGGTGTTAACACTGTAGGGTCAAGAATACATGTTTGTGTTCCTGACCCTATAGTGATCCTTTAAGAATACATGTACTGAGAACCTTAAGGGTTACTGCCAGAAAAACACCCATATATGTGTTTAGCAACATGTCCTGAGTACAGTGATACCACCCATGTACAGGTGTGTCGGGTTCTCTGGGGGCTACAAGACCTTATTTGGAGGGTGCGCATTCCACTTTTCCATCATGCACCCATGTCCTATTTGGGACATTTTTGATGCCGGCCAATGTAATTTATCCACATCAAACCATATATTTTTGAAACGTAGACACCCTAGGGTATTTTAAATGGTGGTATTCTAACACTTTCCATGCACTAATTCTACCACCAGTCTTTGTCAAATTTTTCGGTAGTCATTTTTTTGTGTTATGTTTCACACACATTTTACTTTAGGCATGGATTCTCAGCTCCTGTTAGGTATTACTGCCAAGAACACCCCAATATGTGTCCATAAACATCTACTGAGGACAGTGATACCAACTATGCATAGGTTTGCTGGGTTGTTTGGGGAATGCAATGCCAAACTTTTGACATGTGTTTTTCAAATTTGACATATCTTCTTTGCCTATCTTCTTTTTGGGGGCCTTTTTAGATATCCCAATTTATTTTCTTGTCATGAGCGTGCATATATATGAAAAGGTTACACCCCATGGTATTGTATATAGAGTGTCAAAAAATTTGAGAAAATGTGTGGTGGTAATTTTTCATTTTTACACACACATTTGTGTGTGATTTAGGGGAGCCTGTTGTTGGTTATTGCAAGAAAACACTCCAGTTTGTTTTCTGCAAGGCCTCCTGAGTACACTCATGCACCCCATGCATAGGTTTGCCAGGATTTTGGGAAGGTTGTGTTACAATTGTATGACTTGTAATTTGAGTTGAAATTAAGAATATTTCTTCTGATAGGCCTATCTTTAGTTTGGGACTTATCACGTACCCCAGTTTTATTTATTGCCATGAAAGTTTATATATTTGAAACGTAGACACCCCAAGGAATTGTATATGGAGTGCTTTGATGCAACCGTTTTAGCCCAAAAAACTGGAGAAAATGCTTGGTGGTAATTTTAAAATTTTCATTTTTACACACACATTGCTTTTTGACTGTGATTTAGGAGAGCCTGTTGTTGGTTATTGCAAGAAAACACTCCAGGTTGTTTTCTACAAGGCCTCCTGAGTACATAGGGTAAACGTAACCAAAATAAAACTGAACGGCAAATGTTAAAAAAAAATAAAAATGGACCAGTATGTGGTATCGTTTGAAGCAGTCCCCAATGCAGAATCCAGGCAGTCCAGGGCAATCAGAACAGTAATATACATTATCTTTCTCTGCCCCCTCTTAAAACAGACTCTGCATCTTTTTGGTGGATTCTGCTTTGCTGCAGTAGGCGGGGTTTTAAAAGAAACTGTGTAGCCCCAACTCTGCTCCTTCCCATCACCGCCCGGGGAGCAGGTGCATCATGGTACAAAATCCCCGAAATGATCTGGAGCTGAAACTGTACAAAAGTCAGTTGCATTCCAGGGTTTGCTCTTTTGCACCTCAACACCTCTCTTATATTAATATTCACAACTATTGTTGTCATCAAATATGTATTTTGATTTCAGGAGTTCCTTAGACCTATTTTATTGTGGCAAGCAAATTTTATGCAGTATTTGTTCATAATTTAGCACAAACAAAGAAATACACACAGAAAAAGGTGGCACGTTTCAGACTACTTTTAGAACACTTTAATAAACCAGAACACATTTTGAAATCGCCCAAAAAAGAAGCATGTTTACGTATAGGTGGATAAATCTCCCCCTGCTTTTTATATATTGGTCAGCTGTGACCTCATACATGAAGTTCAAGATGAGCCTACTTGGTTTTGGAGATGGCAGGACAGGGACGAGGCTAGATATGTGTGCCTTGTAGAATAGGTGTATCAGCCTAGCATTCACACATGGCATGCATTATGCTAGTCAACCAACCAGTTTTAGGACTATGAAAGCATTCATGCATTGGATGATCATTCTAGAAACTCTTGTGAAAGTTTAGGAATGTTATTTTCATGTTTGCTTATGAGCTTTTTTTTTTTAATGTTAAATTCCTGATGCCCACTGAGCTGTAGTGGAGACAGAGACCCCAGGTAAGAAGTAAAATCGCTCTAAAACGGTTTGACTCCTTGCATTTGGGGAGAGGGGCAAGTATACAATGCACTGTAGTGGTTATGGTGCTTGGAGTGTTCTTTGAAAAGAACCAGAGCTCAAACTATATTGAGACATTCAACATTTAAATAAAATTGTCATCTATGTCAAAGGCAACGGCTACATGTCATCTTCTATTAACCTTTTAGTCTCTATGTTTTTAAAACCTAATTGTTTCAGGAGTGTCTATTCGATTTGAATGTTACAGTATCTCTGATCTATCATGCTCAGGCCTGATTTGAAAATGGGATGGGTTTCAGTGTAAGGGAGATCTTGGATGTATGAGTTGTTCTAAACAGAAAAGTTGTCCTACAGGATGAGCGATATTAGCCTGTGGCATCAGCCATGGATTTTACATGCCTCCTTCTTTTTTTCAAATGGAATTCCTTGGTTTGTGAGTTTGACAGTTCCCCCCAAGCAATGGATGGCAAGTCCTGACCTGTATTATTCTGTAACTACATTAGAAACATGTAATTTGTTAAACAAACAGGAAACTTTTTTTTTAATTTTAGTCTTTTACTAAATTGTGAATAGTTGGAGTTTATAAGAGTTTTTCAAAATTTAGGGGGAAAAAATCAATATCTGCTATTATTTCAGTTTTATTATTTTGGCCAAAAAAATTATAATTCAGTTTGAAGCTGTCATTTGCAACAGAGAGTAAATATTAAACTACTTATCCCCTGTTCCTATGGCACAGATGAGTTTGGTCTTGTTTATACGTTAAAGGATCACTATAGTGTCAGGAAAACAAAGTGGTTTTCCCCGACACTATAGTGCCCTGAGGGTGCCCCCACCCTAAGGGTCCCCCTCCCTTGGTGCTGAAGGGGTTAAAACCCCTTAAGCCACTTACCTTATTCCAGCGCCGTGCTCCCTCGGCGCTGGTGACCTCTCCTCCCCCACCGACGTCAGCTCGCTCTGCCGACGTCAGCGGAGCAGAATGCGCATGCGCGGCAAGTGCCGCGCGCGCATTCAAAGTGTCCATAGGAAAGCATTTCTCAACGCTTTCCTATGGACGCTCTGCGCGATGGAGGCATAATATGCCTCCAGCGTCGCAGATGCGCCTCGAGTGGCTGTCCGGAAGACAGCCACTAGAGGCTGGCTTAACCCTGCAATGTAAACATAGCAGTTTCTCTGAAACTGCTATGTTTACATGTGAAGGGTTAAAACCTGAGGGACTTGGCGCCCAGACCACTTCATTGAGCTGAAGTGGTCTGGGTGACTATAGTGTCCCTTTAAGTTTGAAACATGAAACAAAGTAATACAACATAGCAATAGTTAAATGTGTACTGACAACATGTAATTTTACATGACAATCTGTTCTGAAATATTTATATATTTACAATATAATGTATATAAAATGCATTGAATTGGTAATATATTTATGTTGGCTGCTTTAAAAAAAAAAGTGCTTTTATCTGGAATGGAAGAGTTCCTCTTTAAAGGACTTGCATGGGGGCATTTTTGACAACTCATATGTTTTGTAACTCTTTTGCAATTTCCAACTTTATGTGAAATGTAGTGTTGCACAGATGTAATTGAAAGAAGAAAACTATTGGGCGAATAGCACATATAGAACCAACCAGGGCACAGTGGCGAAAGAATGCTTGTCAAACCTTCAGAATTATCTGCTTTCCATTGTTCATTTGACCAAATTTCTAATGAATTCTAAAGACAAGATAAAACAACATTATAGATTATATACATGGAGATAATCTGAACATGCTCACTGAACTATTCTATAGGAATGTACAGATTCCTTCCATTGTGGATCACTTTGGTGACCTGTTTGTGAACCCTGGGTCAGCTAGGATCTAATACCTCTGCCTTTCTTAATATTCAGTTAACTTGTATTCATAGGGTTCTATTCTCCAAGTGAAAAATAGTAACCAAATAGAGTTCCGTTGTCAATTTTTGCCTGTTTTAATCTATTTGACTATTCCAAAAAGACAAATTTGGTTATGTTATACCAAGCTAGCAGTTTTATATTGCTGCAGTTCGTTAGTCCTTTAAAATCAGCAAAAGCTCCATATAATATTGGTGATTTGGCTTTTCCCAAGCAAACAAAATGGCTTTATTTGGAGGCTGCAGTTTTAGGATACAAACCAGGGGATTTGCACCTAACATGGCTAATTACTAACAAGAGAATTCTAAGTGGTTTTAAATTTAAGGCCAGAGTACTCAACGCAAGCTGGCTTACAGATTTTTTTTTTTGACTTTGGCTTCTCTGACCTTAAAGGGACACTCCAGACCTCTAAAGCACTTTGGCTTGCAGACATGCTTTATTTCAACAGAAATTTTAACTTGGTTACACCCCCTTGGCTTTCAAGCAGACAACAAGTCCTGTTACTCTTTGGTGTATTTAGCTCAGTGGAGCTAAACAAAAGAGGCAGCAATTTCTCAGAGCACTTGCCCTGCAAAGACTTCTCCTGGAAATCTGACACAGAAAGACTGAACAGGTTTAGAAGGGAAGGACTTACAGAGGCTGCAGACAAAAGAACTGCAGATTATGCAAGCTGTTTTTTGGATGTACCACAATGAAAAATGCATAATTACATGCATGGAAGTTTTTATTTGAGGTATATATACTAAATAGTGATTTTGATTACTTTTGTATTTGGGTAGGGGAGTGTCTCTTTAAAGGGACAATTTAGGCATCAAAACAACTTTAACTTAATTAAGCAGTTTTGGGTGTATTGATCATGCCCCTGCAGTCTTACTGCTCAATTATCTGCCATTTAACAGTTAAATTACTGTGTTTCCATTTATGCAGCCCTAGCCAGCCTGCAAATGTGATAAGTATTAGTATCTTAGTAGATCAGTGACCACAGGGCCTGCTTGAGGTCTAGGAAAAGCCACGTAGGGAGAATCCACAAAGGGATAAGGGGAAAAGACCATAAGGGAAAGGTGAGTTAAGAGACCATAACGTGACATGGGGGATGAGAGACCATAATGGGCAAAGACCACAAAAGGATGGGGGAACACAGAGGCACACAGAGAGGTGGGGCACAAAGGGGCTGGGCAGACAAAAAGGGGCTCACACAGAGGGGCTGAGGGAGGGGTAAAGAGACACACAGAGGGCTGAGGGGGCAAATATACATGAGACACACAGAGGGTCTCGGGACAAAGAGACACACAAAGTGGCTAAGGGGACAAAGAGACACACAGAGAGAGGGTGTGGGGGCAAATACCTGTAGACACACAGAGGGGCTGAGGGGCAAAAAGACACAGAGAGGCTGGGGGAGCAAAGAGACACACATATGAGCTGGGGAGACAGAGGGGCTGGGAGGACAAAGAGACAGACAAATAAGTTGGGGGAAAAAGACACATAAAGGGGTTGGGGAAAGAAAGAGACACACAAAGCTTGAACATTTTGTTATGGGTGGAGTGAAGGAGTGCAAGTAGCTAGTCTTGCTTAGTGCAAAAATTGTCCTGCACCAGCCAGATTGACCAGTGAATACTGGCAGAGAAATGCATTCCTCTATAGACTGGGGTGAATATATATACTCCCCATATTTATTTAATATATATTTATTTAAATATATATATATATATATAGTATAAATGAGGGTGAACGAGACTTTATGGACTAGATTTCATTCTGCAAAAACATGAAAACATTAATATTTATACTCACGCTGTAGTGAAGGGGTTAAAATATTTAAGTAAGTATTCACTGATAAAACATTTACAATAATATTCTATGTTCTTGGGATAAATAGGCATGCCCAAGATGGAGATGAACGATCCATTTACAACTTGGTTGTCACCATTGGAATCTGCTCTGCAACAAGCACTTATTATGTGAAGAATGTACCAATCAAACAGGAACTCACAAAACAGTAGGGATGTGCATGGGGAAAAAAAATTTGGTTCGGTTCGGCATTCCGAAATTCGACACTTCGGAGGTTCTGGACTTCGGATGTTCTCTTGCAGCCGCTTAGTAGATAACTCCCTAATTCCCACGGTATTAAAGATTACTTAGTATTAGTAAAAAATTTTTAGTAAAAAAAATCCAGTGTCCTCCCTCTCAAACCCTTCACCTGTGCCGCGCGAGGCGGGCTTTTAAACTGAAGGGGGGACCTTATGTCCTCCTTGGCCCCCACCCCTGAGCAGCAGATGGGGACCCAAAATACCAATATGGGGGGGATCTATTGTCATCAAATTAGAATAAGAAGGGGGGGACCAATTAGGCTGAGAGCACACTGTTGTCATTGGTCTGTGACTTTACTGTAGTTCCACACAAGTGCTTTCCATCAACCAATCAGAGTGTTATGAGTCAAATTACACAGCGTGGGGAAATTTCAAAGAATTTTCCCATGCTGTGTAAAATGACACAGAGCACTCTGATTGGTGGTGGAGGCCAGGGGGGAGGACACTAGGTTCCCCCCTTATTCTAATTTAGGGCTCCCACATGGAACTTGTGGGGAACTACAGTAAAGTCACAGACCAATGACAACAGTGTTTACACTCCCATATACAAACATACAATCCCTCCCCTCTGCCTGGGAGATAATTGAGTCAGATACTGTATTAACTCAATTATCTCCAGGCCTGAAAAAACACATATTTTTATAAAACCCCAAAAGTACCCCTAAAACCAACGTAAATCCTATAAAAGTTATATCCTGATAGCCCCGATCTTGGTGAACAACCTATCCAAAAATCACCCAGATCGGTTCATGGGTTCTGGATTTCCACGGAGGTCTTATTTTAACCAACCGCACACAAAATTACTGTCCAAAAAGAGTTCCAGGAAATCAGGCTGTGTGGTCGGTCTACTTCGGGGATTCAAAGTAGAATATAAAATACCGAACATATAGTTTCGCGAGTAGGTTCAGTTTATGTCTCTCGTTCGGGAGTTTATTCCCACTGAACGCCGTTCGATTCCCATTCGAATAGCCGAACATCAGTGGAAGGTATGTGTTTAGCGGTGTTCGCACCGTCGAGTGTCTGATATGAGTTCCACGTACTTGACAACCAAACGCCGCTCATTGAGCTTGTGGCTTAAGATGGCTGCCGCCACATGTTCGAAAGCCAGCCACCTGCTTCGACCCGCTTTGAGAGTTCGAAGTGATGCTTCGAACCTCTTCGAGAGTTTTAAGTGTTACTGAGTGAATAATGTTTATAGGTGGCACACTTCTCGTACGGGTGGTCCAGTCATTCAGTGGTTTATTCGGCATTCAAACCCAGACTCCTGATCCGTTTGGTAAATTCCGTATACCGAACCATACAAGTCCAAAAGGTACAAACAGTGTCTTTAACCACAGTTTATTACAGGGGCCATAGTCACAGGGCAGGAGGCTGGCAAATAGGCTCCTCCAAAAGCCAGTGGCGAGGTTACTTTTCGCCACACTATGTTTTTGTGTTTGTTTATTCTGATCCTTTTTATCTATCATTGGGACGTAGGTAAAGATCAAATCACATTTTAGGACAATGCAAATAAGGAGGTTAAAGACTTCTGCTGTGTCTGCAAAAACCCTGTAATATTGAGTTCAGATTAATTGAACACACTTTTGTCACAAATTGTTGTCAAAATAAACTAACAAGGACAATAATTTACTCTACGTACAGCTTTTGAGAACGTAGGTAATGTGCCATAAAAGAAACGATAAAACACTTAAGCTATATCTATAAATTCTTCTTTTGCATTATTTGTTTCTCTTATTGAACCCACAATCTCATTTTGTCTTCCCACAGGGAGACTCTGGTGGTCCTCTTGTTTGCGAGCTGGAAGGACGTGTTGAGTTGTACGGTATTGTGAGCTGGGGAACTGGCTGTGCTGAGGTTAACAAGCCTGGCGTCTATACCGAAGTGTCCAGCTACATTAACTGGATCAATGCCAACATCAGCTGAAGCAAAGGCAGATTACCAGTGGAGTGCCTGTAACACTTAAATCCCACCTCTACTGCAGCATACGGACTATCAAAATGATTTAGAATTGTTTTACTTACAAGTGCAGAGATTGATAATACATGCTGTGTTGATGGTGTGCGAGACCTGTTTTGGAAGCCCTGAAACAAGCCAATCTTTTCAGTGCTCTAAAATAGATGTTATATTTCTTTTTCTTATCCTTTGTTTTCTTTCTTAGTACTCCATTCTGAAAAGCATGCTTATGTATGCGCCAATTTATATACCACTGTAAAGGGAGGACCTTTTTGTAATTTGTAATTTTTTTGTTGTAATTTTTGTTGAGAGATATAGCATGTCATTTGTTACAAAAAAAAGAGTATTGAATAACAGAAACATTTATTTTACACATTAATAAATATTAAGGCTGGATACTGTTGGCTTTGTCTAATATGACTTTCCAAATATAAATTGTTGTCTTTGTAAAAGTATCTCTTTGGTATAACTGTGTGGAGTTTTCTATTGAGAATGAACTACACCCGCATAGAGCAGCAACATGTCTAGATGTCCATGTGCTAGATGCTAGAGTCAATTGCAAACAATATAAATGATATATAATCCACATTTGAGAATCCTGTGATGTGGGATTCATGGGCAGTTAAATACCTCCAAACATTGGGAGCTATACAACTGTGATATGAGAGGGAGGAGTCAGAGAGGGATATCACAGTGATACAAGGCAGCATTAGGTAGATTCACCATAGAGAGCTACAGTCTAGTGTGCATGTAAACCACTTGACAGACAAGGCGGGTGAATTGCTCTTAAATGAGCACAAAGGCCTAACACATTACCGAGCTATGATAATAATATTCCATATTAATTAAGAATCTTTGATTGATCACTATTGAGCAAATTAAACTATTATAGATAGTTAAGATGGCGCCGGTACACAGTACTGAAAATGTTACTAACCACAAAACACAGCACAAGAATGACTCATGCATGCCATCACAAGATAGTTATGAGAACAGAGCTAGCTTTTTAGATCAGAGATAATAACCGTACAGACCTGGCATGATATTGTTGGAGCTGGACAGCCTGGCCATCTGCAGGTCCCATCCAACGCTTTTGCAAGGTGTTTGCTGGGCTGCACTGATAAGAAGATTTGTTGCAAAAGTACAGACTATTCACCCCATTGATTATTAAGAACTTATAAAAGACAAGAAAACTTGGCACTCGTTTGGAGTACTACCCACCTGTAATACGGACATGTATCACTGGTTCTGCTGATTTCCTAGTAAGAGAAGGTCCCCTTCAAGCCAGACTGCCAGAAGTTCTCTCAGTCGAGTGCAGCAAGCTTCTCTTATGACGATGTATACTTGAGCTGTTTCTTTAAGCTGAATATTAAACTGTTTCTTTAAGTTGAATGATTACTTATTAATTAAGTCTTTGTTAATCAATAAAGTTTGTATTGATTATTTACAAGTACCTGATGTCAGTGTCTTTCCCTTTCAATTCACTCATCCCGAATAGGGTTTTGGTGCCCACCAATATCTTTAAAAACCTTGGGGTAATTGATTATTGCTTTTTGATATTGGCGCTTCATCAATAAAGTTTGTATTGATTATTTACAAGTACTTGATGTCAGTGTCTTTCCCTTTCTCAAATACTCAATTCACTCATCCCGAATAGGGTTTTGGTGCCCACCAATATCTTTAAAAACCTTAGGGTAATTGATTATTGCTTTTTGATATTGGCGCTTCATGAATTTAATGATTAGACACAACCCGAGCTTACACTATGGGCCTCAATACAACTTTAATGCATTTGATAGGTTTTGGCCTCATTAATATGCTATATTGTTTGCATGCTCAAATATTTTTAGTTTTTATGCACAAAAAATGTTTTGCAGAACACTTCACCATAAGCCTGCTTCTTTAGCCATGCCCCTTCACTCCAGAAAAAGACTTCCTTATCAAATGTATGAACACAGCTGTCACTGACAGTACTGAATGATATATGCACTACAGAGAAACCTGCATTAGAATGAGAGGACACCCAGGGAGAAATATAAAAATATATCACTACCTGTTCATAGTGTCTGTCTGCAGCCTTCTTTTCATTGCCGGGAACAGGAAACAGGCCAGGATTAAGAAAGATAGAGTTTTATTTACCAGCAAAGTAATGACTCTAACAGGATTATTCACTGTCACGAGATGGACAAAATCCAGTGAAAATGGGCAAATGTCGATTGCAATGGCAATTCTCCTATTTACTAAAGCCAGATCACGTTGGAATTCGGTAAGTTAAACCATACTCTAGAAATTGGCTGGATGCATTCAGTGTCCAGATTAAAATTAGTACTTTCACATCTGAACCTTTTACAAAGTATAGGATTTAGAATATTCATAAAGCACCGGTTTAAACAAAATTCGGGACCGAATGCATCTGGCAGGATTCATGTTTGCAAATTATTGTTCACTTAATTTTCTGTACGCAAATCATAACTTTAAATACTATTTACAATAGCAGCCAGTGGGCAAATAGCTAAAAAACAAAAAAAACAAACTAGGGTTAATAGTGTGGTGGCTGGTCAGCACTTAATAGCCAGCAACCCATTTAAAGAAAAAAAAAGAAGCCTAAGAGGATCAGTATGACCCCGATATTAATACAAAAAGATAGGTCCTGCGCTCACTCCCATCACTCCTGGGCGGCAGCAACAACCACAGTACCCCCAATATATAGTAAAAACCAAAGAAAAAAAAGGTTTAAAAAAGAGAGAGAAACAAAAAGGGGGGACAAAAAAGATCCTGATATTACTATAATGAGATTATAAACCTCCCTTGTGCCCCATATGCCAGAGCCACGAGTGGAGGCATATCTACTAAATAGCCATTGCATGGGGATGGGTCCTGTAAAATAAGGGGGGATCTAAACTGTAAAAGAAATATTGAAGGGTGAACAAAACTCTGTCCACCTCCATTCCTTCAACTATGGTCAGTACAGGTATGGGGGGGAGCTAAATCTCTTTTGACTTATAGAAAACAAATACATTCTACAGTCTATAAAAGAAAACACAATGTTTACATGCATGCACGTTCTGCCACAAGTTACATTAGGTATGTGTCCCTAGAGAGCAAACCGGCGAGCCTTATATCTTCAGTTTATACCATTGGGACAAGTCTCTTTCAAATCTCGACATCATTCCAGCCAAAGTTAAGTATGTGACATTTGTACATACAGTCTATTTGCTGCCAGCTTCTCCAGAACCACATTTGTGGAGGGTGGTTGGAAGGGGGACTTCCAGGCTCCTGCTATACTACTTTCAGCAGCCACCAGCACATGCATTATTATTTCTCTTTCTGCCTTCCCTATGGTATTTAGTTACATATCATGCAAATATATTTCAGGGCTCAGGTGTACAGTTTAGCTGAATAGAGTAGGTATTATATTTGGAATTTGGTGCCAGAAGTGGCCCAGTTTTGGGAATTTCCAAAAGATATGGCTAAGAGACCCTATGCCCTGCTGGCACCTCCAACATTGGAGAGAAACATTTGGTAGCTATGTGCTAAGCGGATGGGTGTCAGGATGACCTCATCAGCAACTTACTGTTTGCCTCGATATGGTTCAACCAGTATGTAGTCCCCTGAATCTGGGAGCAGTGCCATCTTAACAACATTATGGACCACAGGGCCGCCATCAGAAATTGTGGGGCCCCTAACACAGCTCAAGGTCTGGGGCCCCGGGTGCCCGCCTCAAAATCCCGCCCACAGGAATACACACACACACAAAAGGACACAGATACACACACAGAAAGATACACACATACTAACAGACAAAAATACTGAAACAGACATACACACATATAGACACATACACAGATACACACACACACTGACGTACATACATACTCACATACTGACACTCACATACATACAGACATATATACATACTGACAAACAGACATACATACAAACACATAAATACATACTGACATACATACATACATAATGATATACATACATACACACACACACACACACACAGATAGCTATATACATACACAGATACATACAGACATACATGCATACTGACATACATACTGATAGATATATACATACACACATACATACTGACATACACACACACAGACATATATACATTCTGACATACACACACACATACAGATAGACACATACAGACATACTGACCAGGGCCGTCTTTAAGGAGGGGCAAAAGGGGCAGCTGCCCCGGGCCCAGTTACTCCTGGGGGCCCTAAGGCAGCTGCCCCATGGGCCCCCTGCAGCACCTGAGGTAATCAGGGGCCACAGCCCTTTAATACTGCTCTGGACCGGGCCCTTGTAATATGGGGGTTGGCTGAATACAAACACACAGCTAGCCCCTCACACACTGCCCTGGGATCCCTTTTCTTCTCCGTGGCATGCTGGGAGGAAGTGAGGTCAGATCACTTCCTCCTCAGTGCCGCTGGGGAGGAGGCACACACCACACAGAGGAGGATGCAAGCATTGTGGGGGAGAGGGACTGAGAAAGCTGATGGCAGACTCCCATCAGCCTGGGCCAGCAAGCTCTCACTGGACCCCAGGGAAGCCACCTTTCTGTACCCAAAAGGTAAGGAGACAGGAGGGTGGCTAAATATGTTTTGTTTTTTTGTTTTGCTAATTTCTGATATCACTTTTATTTAAGTGTGTTGGTGTTTGTAATGTAACACACAGGGAATAAGTACATGTTAAAAATCCTAGAAGAACCTGACAGTTCCCTATTAAATATAAATTTTAAAAGAATTTGTTTTAACATATTATTGCATCAAGTGTTATCAAAGGCTGTATACCATTTCCAAATGTCACTTTTGCCAAATTCTGGACCAGGGTATGTAAGAACAGAGATGAGACATTATTATGGCCAAGGTTGCTGGGAGTTGCTGTCCAAGAGCTGCTAGAAGGCAGAGATTAAAATATGTAAATGTACACATATATGTGTGTGTGTATCTGGTTGTGTTTATGTCCTTGTGTGTATCTGGCTGTGTTTGTGTCAGCGTGTGTATCTGGCTGTGTTTGTGTCAGTGTTTGTATCTGGCTGTGTTTGTCTGTGTGTCAGTGTTTCTGTGTGTATGTATACCTGTGTATGTGTACTTGTGTGTCAGTGTGTATGTGTACCTGTGTGTGTGTTTGTGTGTGTGTGTGTATATATGTGTCAGTGTGTGTAAGTGTGCATCTGAGTGTGTGGTAATGCATACATCCCAGCATTTTAATGCCAACACAAATACACTCCATCTCTAGCACTGTACACATATACACCCCTGCTTTTATACCTTTATGTATGTGTGTATCTGAGTGTGTGTGTACATACCTGTGTCAGTGTGTGTGTGTACCTCTGTGTGTGGATGTGCCAGTGTGTGTGTGTATCAAAGTGCTTGTATCCGTGTGTCAAAGGGTGTGTATCTGAGTGTGTGTGTGTATGTGTCAGTATGTGTCAAGGTATGAGCATGTGTCAGTGTGCCTATGTGTGCATCTGCATGTTAATGTGTATGTGTATATGTGTTATAGAAATCACGCAACATGCAAACAGAGCCCTGCAAACACAAACATTACATACAAACACACCAGTTTGCTGAAACACCAATACTACACACAAATGTACACAACACTACATCCAAACCACCCCCTGCATGCAAATACAAACATTACATACAAACACATTCCTGTATTAAAACGCTAAAATTATATACAAACACCAACTCTACACACAAAAGTACACCTGCATTCAAAAGCCAACATTACAGACAATCACAGATTACTGCATTAAAACGCAAACACTACACACAAGTACACCACTGCATTCCAATGGTAACAGTACATACAAATACACCCCTACATGCACACATACATTCTATACAATAACATGCTGACATTCAATTGCACAAACACTGCTCAAAAATACAACCCTGCAAGGATGGTAGATCCCCACCTGGCATAGCATCGCAGGAGTTGTATGACAGATGGGGATCTATTTTTTCTTTACACTTGTGCTACAGGGCAGGCCTGAATTATTATTTTTTTGCACCAAGGCACTCTCTACATTAGTTTCGCCTCTAGGTTGGGGTGGAGGGAGTGATTGCATGCCCAGGGGGCCCAAGCAGATGCTTGCCCAGGGTCCAATCAATATTAAAGACGGCCCTGATACTGACTGTAGCGGATGGCACCGGGCTGTCCTGCAAATATATTGTACATAACTGCATTCGTGTAATCTGCTGTGTTATATGTTGTTTTAAAAGAATTGTATTCCTCTGATTGTTCGGTAGTTTCATTCCCTCAGTTTATTCGAATGAAAATACCGAACAACCAGACCTCCCCTGTGTGAAGTGTGTCCTCAATTACCCATTGCAACATTGTTGCGAACGGGTAATTGACTAGTAAGTAGCCGTCCTTTGTTCTCGGGGGTGGCCGCCATTCGACAAACGAACACGTGGCCATTTTAAAACTCCCGAACAGCGGTGTTTTGCCGTCGAGTGTCTGGAACTAAAATCGGACACTCAAGTAGGCGAACACCGCTGAGACCTCCACAAGCACGGTCCGTTCGGTT